ATCTGTGCTGTACATACTTGCATATGTACCTATTTGTGTATTGTGTTTTAGTCACTCTCGATTATTTCATTGCATTTCATTATATTTGCCTATTGTGGACTGTGAGTAATCAAGAGGGAAGTGTGCTTGTTTAGAGGGGATCGAGTTATTCAAGTTTATGCGGGCCTTGGTGAACCTAACACTAACATTTTCACATGTTCCGAAACCCAACAGCATTAACCCACACCTACAGGCACCCCACTGGGCCTGGGTAATCCTCCCGCCCGGCGAGGTATATTTAATATCTCTTAGTTTTGTCTGATGTATGTGTTGTAATACCTGGGGAATGGCTCGATTCCATTTTGGTTACTCATAGCGTGTATGTAGTACTTACCCCGGTTTCGAGAGGGCTCAAAAGTGCTGTACATTAGATGTTAGCTGTAGGCTTTGTTCATTATAGGACTACTCCGAATTAGGTTTTTCTGCAATTTTCCTAATTCATAAGGTAAATGCCGGAGTAGTATAGAACCACTTAAGACCCTCTGCAGGGACACCGTATTGGTATTAGTTTCAATATAAACTTAATCAGCTATTGCTTTTGGTGTTCCTTACCCATAAAACGCCCTCAGTGCCTGCTTAGAACTCAGTTACTACACAACGTAGGTGTCCTACATGACGATCACGATCTTAGTGCAATCGGACTGGCCCCCGAGTGACAGATTCTCGCGGGAAACTTAAGCGAGAATATTCAAATAGGCAGCCATGTTAGTTTGGCATTCCCATTACTACAGAACATGGTCAAATATTCCCGTGTGACTTGAAGTTGGCGTTAGCCCGCCAAGATAGTAGGAGGCTAAGATCATTACACTCCCAAATTTTCTTCTTTCTATTCGTCCGTGTACCCTATGTATAAGCTGGTTCAAAGTCATATATTATATATGTTCAAAGTACGGGAGGAGCCCGACGAGCACCAGTTACTCGTCGAGAACCAGGCACAATAGTACTTACGCCAACGTTAGATGTCAGAACGATACTATTTTAGCTACAGCTTTGAATATAAAATTAGGAAGAAGTCTAACTGAATGGGAACTTGAGGTTCCGTGACAATCATATTCATGATATCTTTGAATGCTGAAATTCTCTACAATTTATCTTTTATAAGTTTTTTTGTATCTCTTTTTGTTTTCTCAGCGTTTGTAAAAAATGTACGCACATCTTAATTTGAAATTATAACAAGTTAAAAAGTAATCGTAAACGATTTACATAAAGCGCATTTCCACTTGCATTCATTTCCTATTTGTAAGATACAACTTTTGTTAAAATTGTAAAAATCCGGCCACAAATATGAAAGATAGCATTGCACATGTGCAATCCATTTTTGACGTGCTACTTCAATTTCAGTTTATAAGAAAAGTTTCATTTCAATGCTTTTCTAAATAAGAAAGTTGGAACTGCGCATGCGCAAACCTAAATTTTGAAGCTGAACGTTAGATTTTCCTTTGTTCCAAGTGGCTATGTATCAAATTTCATTTAAATGCTTCCATAAATAAAAAAGTTGCCACTGCGCATGCGCAAAACCAAATTTTGAAACTGGCATTAGCTTTTCCTTTATTCCAAGTGCCTATGTATAAAACTTCATCTAAATGCTTCCATAACTAAAAAAGTTGGCAATGCGCATGCGCAAAACCAAAGTTTGAAACTGCCGTTAAATTTGCTTTTTTATTATACCTGAATCACAATCTCCGTTTTAAACACTCAAATGCGTGCGAAAAAGGGCCTTTAAAACACACGTGCTTTAAAGTTGCTAAGTAACGATACTTCAAGTATGACTTTTGAAACTGTCATCTGGGGCTGAAATAAAAAATCCTCTTAGGTCGGTTTCTGTAAATGCAGAACATTTCTTTGGCTGTTGTACCTATCCTTTGGTTGAAGCTTTCACAAACGCGCGTAATTTAGGGTATGCTTCCAAATCTGTTCCACTTTTTAATCGCAGCATTGCTTTAAAGTTTTGAATGAATGCACCAAAATATAGAAGATTTAAATACCTTTGACATTTCCTTCATATATGCCAGCATTATGGATGCATTTAAGACTTTATTCGTAAGTAACTTCCTATTCATCCATGGAAACAACTTTTCATATTCTGTATAATAGGCTTTACTGAAGTTGGATTTTACACCTACCAACATTTGTTTAGATTTTACAACAATCGATTTAATGGACGGTGTATTATCTTTTTCAATGGAAATCGTTTAATTCATAAAGACGATGATTTTTATAAGTAAACGTCAAGTGACATTTCCATGGCAATCGTGAAATTACGAACACCCAGCCCACTTAATTAGACATGTATTCGAGTATAACGTCAATATGATTTCATTGTATTTCCTATTTTTAAATTATACTGCAGGTATAATAAAAAATACTATAAGATACACGTGTATAATTGGTCTTTAAAGCACTTGCAACTTTAAAGGCACTCCGCTTTGCGTCGTGCCCTTAAACTCGTTGCGCGTGCTTTAAAGACTTGATTATACACTTGTATCTTATACTATTATTCCAAGTGGCTGTGTATCAAATTTCATTTAAATCCCTCCATAAATAAGAAAGATGGCACTGCGCATGCGCAAAACCAAATTTTGAAATTGGCGTTAAATTTTCTTTTATTCCAAGTGGCTATAGGTATATCAAATTTCTTTGAAATACTTTTATAATTAAAAAAGTTTGCAATTCGGTTTATAAATGGTCGATATGCGAAAAGGGCACTGTGAATTTTGAATTTGTTCGATTCAACTTTTGGCATTGCGTATTATATGGCCCATATTGAATTTCATGCAATTCAGTTCATAACTAACGGAGATGTAAAAGCGATCGGACATTTCTAAACAAAGTTATCGTTCACTCGGACAGATAGAGGGGCAGACAGACAAAGGAACAGACTGACAGACCAACAGGCAGACGACAGGCAGCAATGCAAAATTATAAACGATCTCTAGGATCGTTAATAAACGACAAAAGTGTAAAATTATGGAACATGTAAAAAACGGTTTTTTGGTTTTTTTTACAATAACTTTTTTTGTAAGCGGTACAGAAAAAATTCCTTCCTTGGTGCAAGACTCGACGCGATAACGAACCAAATAGCGAAAAAAGTAGAACAATAGCTCTTAAGATAAAAAAAACTAGTAGCGTCTCTAAACGAGCGGGCGGACAAAGTGGCCACAATAGCGCATTTTTTTTATTGTGGAAATGCGCTAATAACCTCTTTAGTTAAAAAAGAACCCGGCGTACGACTCGAACCTATGATCCTGCATCTAGTAATAATTTCAAGTACCTACATTTTGGGGGTTGGGATCGAAGCGTTGAAAAAATTTAAACTGTGTTATTTTTTATTACGGTGTAGGAGGTACAGGTATAAATGCTCCAAATTAAAGAAATTTTAATTAATCAGTTCTAGAAATACATTTATATATCAGGTAGAGAAGTCCAGCATTATTGCCTGAGCACCAAGATTATTTCCCAAGGCGCTTGCAACACTTCTCTACCGTGGTATATATACTATTATTTTCACTACTAGCACTTTGAAGACCTATATATTAACAAATTTCATTGATAAGAAAGTGAACGGTTGGACAGAATTCTTTGTTTATTAATTTAACATGTCAATTAAGTACGTGGAAGTAAAAGGCAAGCAGGCCGTATTTTGTTCTGTCATTGAGGTACATTCAAACAGTAATTTTGTTCGATTTTTTCAAAATGTGATAATTTTAACTATAACTCTCGCCAGGAAAGATTGCCGGTCACAGCACCCCTTGTGTCAATCTACAATCTATTTTTCTTAAGACGCGAGCGACTTCCGGAATAGGATCGTGCCAATGTTGAACGAAAAGTCTTTTCGTTTAACATTAACACGATACTATCCTGGATGTCGCTCACATCTTTAGAAAAACACAGATTGTAGATCGGGATCAAATATTCTGTGACCGGCAATCTTTCCTGGCGAGTTATGTAATTTCTCTGGAAATGACGGATGGTGGCAATTATTCATTTTAGAGAACTTGTCTAAACGTTTATTGAGCGAAATTTCCGGTTGCGATTTCTAAAAGTGACAGCGTGACAGTTCTCATTATTGACCACTTTGAAAAACTGCCGAGAAAACCTACTTTACAAGTGGAAAAAAGGTCAATAATGATGTAATCAGACGCTAGTAGTGAAAAACAAATTTGAAATGTACAATATTTATGTAATAATAATAATAAGTTAATTTTGCAATGCCATTAGTTTTCTTTTAAACTTTTTGTCATGTTTCAAAGTTATTTTATTTTTCGAAATATTAATATTTTGACAAAATATTTTATGCAGAGATCTACATGAAGATTACAATTCCAAATACCTCTTATTATTGGATCTACAAACTCTTTTATGTGTTTAACAATTGTCGTCATAACTTTCTCTTGACACTTATATACCTATGTCAAACCATTGATTAAATTGCAACATTTTTAAATCTTTTTAAAAAATTTGAAGTTCTGTAGGACCAATAACTTCGCTGTCCTCTTTTATAATTATACTTTCGCATGCATCACACTTTGTTAGTTTTAACAATTTGTATGCAATAAACCCTGCCACATAAGTATTATAGTTATTACAAACTTCCAGTATAAGATTTTCTTCAAAGTTATATTCTACACTCGTAGATGAAGATGAAGGTAAAACTGTTGCGGTACTAGCACCCAGATTATCATTGGTTCTTGGCTATTGTTCGTCATCATTTATATATTCAATTCCTATAAAAATTGGAAGCGCTTCTTCATCAACAACTTGTTCGAAGTCTTCTTCGCAGTTCCCATTCTTTTTGCAATCTAATAAAAATATTTAATTGCATTGCTCTTCTCAAATTCTGTACGCTGAGATAGGAATTGTATCCCCCACGATGACGCACAACCGAAAAAAAGTTTTCTATCGGATCCAGTTACAAGGTATTTGTGGTCATCAAGCCATAGATCTTCTCACAATAACAACACGGCGTTCATGGTGTGTTTAAATCCGTCGATACAATAAATATTGTTTCTTTTTTGGTACCTTCTTAGACGGATATACTATCGAACACATCTTTCCCATTTGATATGTTGTCCTTTGGAAGTTGCTTGTAAATCGATATGGGCCTGCGGTTTGGATTGCAATCGTTCAGAAACTTACTGTTTAACGAATCGAACAAATTATTGTTACTGTTTATAAACCAAACTGTGTTTTTCCATGTTTTACTACCTCGATCTTTAATGGTATGGGTAGTTTGAACACCGGTCGCTACCGACCTACTAAATATTTGAGTGGCATACCTAACTTTCATTTTTTCAAAATTGTTAGGGTTGATATGGGACGGAGTAATCTTCGACATAGCTCTGGTCGTTGCACTTTTTACGTCTTCATCATACGCTGTTAACACATTGCCAAGATAGTTCTTTCCCATCAACGATAAACTTCAATTTCGGATTAATAAAATTATTGCGCAGAGACTTAATTAAATGTGGAGAATCGAAAGCAGTGTAAATTTTTTCACCGTTAATATACTCTTTTGTACTGCCTAATCCTAGAAAAGTACCGCGGTTATTAGAGCCTTGGTCGAACATTATCATTCTGGGTTTTAATGACATATCGATAATGGTTTTTAACACTTCTTTAAGTATTTTAATAAGGTCCTCTTGTTTTCACGGCCTCTGAAGAAACGTAATAAGCAAAAGTTATAAAACAAGCCTCTTAAATAAAACACTAACCCACTGTTGGCAATTAAATTGGTTCTGCCCAATGAACCTAGATCTTGGTATCCTTCTATTACATCTAATGCACTATTTATAGTCTAATTTTCTTTTTAAAGAAATTTCGTCAAATAACACAACACACTGTTTTTCGGACTAGTTCATACATTTCACTTTTTATTTCATTTTTCTTATTAAAACTGTATCCGTGCCCGTTGGTAAATTTGTAACTTTAAGCCACGAATGTATTGTCTTTACACTTGGCAACACAAATTTTAATGAGGCTCTCATAAATCTGTACGCAGTCGGTGACTTATAGAACAACGAAATGGACAACCGTTTTTCTCTAGCACTCCACACTGTATTATTTTTATGAAAGCACTGCATCTTTACAAAAGTTTGAACATCCACACTTTTGTTTACTAAACTGTTGCATATATTGGAATATGTGGAATTAGATGCAGATTTATACTTTAGACGTCAGTATGGTTTTTCCTTTGTTTTAGGTTTTCTCCGTAAGTTGCCAATTTTAAAGGTTAACCTTCTGCAATTTGGAGACAATTTGGTTGTTTTCATGGGCATAACACTGGCGACTGAAGTTGTTTCGCTGTATGTGTCAATTTCGGGTAGTGATGGATTCGATGTCTTTGGCATTTTAGGTAAATACGTTTTAGTAATTTCGGGGAGGTCTGAAAATAAAACATTGAATGAATATCCTTCAAACGAGTCTTCCAATAAAAATCAAAAAATAATTAATTGGCTGATGCACGAACATAAGCGAGATATTTATGGCTTATGAGTTACACCAACCCTTAAAGTTTGGCCAAAATCGGTTCATAATTACAAAAGTGTTTCTTGGTAGTGATTTATAGGGTGGTGCCTTGCGCGACGCAGCATAGGGATTTCAATGGTAATTTCTTTATAGTCAATTACTAGCTCCCCTAATTATTTTAGAGCAAAAGTCTAAATACGTTTTTTTAGAGAAAAAAATACTGCTTCTGTTCATACTATTAGTAAATCTGTGCTATTAGTTATAATTTTCGATTTTTCAAAACTGCAGAGGTCGATATAATACAAAATTAAATTTTTATAAATCAGTGATGCTTTGGAATCTTTATAACAAACTACAAGCGCATTGCATCTCTTTTCCTGATGGTTTTGACGGACATTTTGAACGTTATTGCACTTGCAGTTATTTAATTCCGTGCCTGTTCTTTGAAACTTGCGCACAATTCTGTCACTGTGGTACTGCTTGGAATCGGGCGATTGGGGTGCTTCACACTAAATAAAGACGTTACTTGGCGGGCATAAAACAACTTTACCATTTCCACTTTCTCGTTAGTGAAATACCTATATGATAAACAATTTTATGATTAACTATCTAATTCATAAACAAATAATGAAAAGTTATCGCTGTTTTTTAGGTAATTCAAGGCATGCCTGATTTATTGTAAAATGAACCTTTTTAGTTTGTCGATTTCTACGGTTTTGAAAAACGGAAAATTATAAGTAATAGTATGAACAGATGCAGTATTTTTTTCTCTAAAAAAACGTATATTTGCAATTGAAATCCCTATGCTGCGTCGCACTATAGGCACCACCCTGTATATATAAACCTATAAAAATGCTGGTACCATTACATTAAGAAAATAGAAATCTACCTAAAAGCGGAAAAGCCCTCGTTGCCATTAACAGCCCTCAACAAAATACCCGAATACTTTTTTAAAGTTAAGATGCCGTCTACAGTCGATTAAGGATACCTTGAAAAATTAAGTAAGCAACATTTAGATCTCCACCGGCATTTTTAAAATTGCAGTTGTATTATTCATATTCATAGATGTAGGTAAATCTGCTAGTAAAACTTATAAATTATTGATTCGTTTACCTACCAATAGACATTTCATTATCAGTGTGAGTAGTTGAAACTGGACAATGCTGCTTCCTAGGATTCTTGATTATTGGCGATGTCGGAGTAGTATCTACAAGAAAAATCGAAGTAGGTAGGTAGTACTTACTTAATGTAAGCATTCCAAGTGAGCCACCTAAACTTTTGACTCTCATAGTAGGCACTAATTGATTAATTGCCATTGAGTTAGAAAACTAATGGAGGGAATATAATGGTAGAGGGGGTAAGAATTTTTGTAGACGGAAGTTGCCACAGATAGAGGCCACTCGCGTGGATAGGTTCCCGTGAAGGTACATTTTGGCCGACATTATTTGACATATGAAAACGGGGGTCCTGCTTAGACCATATAGTACATGAACTGCTAATTGTAACTAAAATATGGTCAAGGACATCGCCTGGGTATGTGAGTTTCAGGGTAAACGAGTCTGTCCGAAGTTGTCCGATTAGACACGATTTGAGACTGTCAACCTATAAATTAACAAACGTCAATTAATTAATCGCCTAGATATCCCAAAAAAAGCAGACTTATTCTTATTTGAGGACGTATAGTAAATAATGAAGAGTATTTAAAGCTTCCCGTACTACGCGGTTACTATAAAGCTGCTCTTTAAGCGATCCTAGTGGTGTTTACACGACTTTAGTTTACCCTGAGATTCACATACCCACGACTACAGTGCCCTCTATTCGTGACCATCCATTTTGTATTGAAAGCATAGGGCGAATAGCAGTCCATGTACTATATGGTCTAAGGGGTCCTGTCACTGTCAGTTTTCCACCAAATTCAAATTTTATTAAATTTGCCATTTTAAAGTAATGCTCTGGTTTATATAAATAACTAACCGCCTCATAGTGTTTTTTATCACACGCAATTTTGTGAATTGAGAATGATTAGCTGCGTATCATGCAAAATTTCTCATGAAGGGAAGAAACAGGGCATTTCCTTTCATCGATAAGACATGTAATTTATTATGTTGTAGGCGAGTTTGTAGGTACCTAGTATTTACTGGAATTATGTTTCTTAGTTTTCCAAACGAACCAGTACTTCGAGCAAAATGGTTACCTAACATTTGTAAATATATCTCAAGAACATATCTCGAAATTTGCTTTTGTGCTCACAACGCTTCATTGACTGTGATTTCGACCAAAAGTTGCACCGGAAAATGTTCATCAAATATGCAGTACTACTATCAAAATTTGTTTTTACAGCTTAACGTGTGAGTTTATAATATGGATATCAGGTGTGAGTTTTTTTACGAGTGCGGATACATTTTGAGACCAATAAACAATAATTATTATTGAATCTGTCTGCCGTTGTAATGAACCTGAGACCAACCCGTCAATTGATCAACGAATTTAATGGTAGTTGTCAAGTTGTAGTGGCTATAGTATAAACTGGCCTTAATTATACTACTACTGGAACGCATCAATGTATATTTAGATTCGTAATCAATGATTATATTAAATCTGCATACTTTCCCATCCTTGTCTATTTTGTTTACTTTACCACGAGCATGTATTTTACTCTTTCTATACATTTTTTTGTTATTATTCCTATTAGTGGAAAGAAAATTATATCTCTACGCCACTGAAGTGAGACGCTAATGATAACGGAAGTGGTGTGGTACTTTAATCACAGACAGAGGCCACTTTTCGGTCCCGTGGTCTACGTTTGGCCCATATATATAAGAAGTATATATAAAAAAAAAAAAACTTTGTTTCACTGGTGCTGAACCTGACGTCATAAATGTGATTCTCTCTTCATTACATTTAAATCGATTGAGACAAAAAAATTACGTCATTAACGTAAGTCGTGACAAATAAACCAATTATTGATCTGTCAATAATATCAATCCGTCAAACGATTTTCGTTATAGACAGATTTCCAGTGTTAAATGCCTTTTGATTAGGTAGTTTGTGTTAAAAGTGAAGTAAATATCATCAAAGTTGAAAACGCTTAGGCAAGTCCACAGTGCAGCAACGCCGTTAACAGACAAGTATTTTAAAAATTTTACATAAACGTTCGATTCGCTCATATCATGAATTTAGGTCATTACCGTTACAATTAGGTAAATATGACGAACCGATACACAGAAGGTGAGCAAAGTTTGATTTTGAAGTTGATTCAGTACTTCCAAGGGGAAAAAGAAGCAGGCAAAACTTTAACACCCGTAAGCGCAGTATATGATGTAAGTGTTTCCTATGCGTTTGCTATAATCATATGCTTACTTAATCACAGAGGGTTTGTGCTGCCCTGGGTGTATCGTTGTGGACTGTAAAAAGAATTAGTACAAGAGGTGTTAAAAAAGATGACGATTACAAATCGCAAAAAAGTGTGGCTATTAGTTTATCTCACGGACCTTCGCTGCATGAAATACATGAACATGTAATAAGGACACGGATTTATGCAATGTATGCGACAGGTAAATAACATTCTTTATGTTCTAAGGGAAGATTTGCTTCAAATGAAGACGTTCGCGAGAACACTTATGGAATTGATTTTATAGGTGAGAATGTTACACTCCGTTCTTTACACAGTAATCTTCAACGACTTGATGGCGTAGAAATATCTGCTACCTCTTTATCCCGCAGTTTGAAGAAACTGAAATTCACGTGGCGGAGATGCACCGTTTCTAATAGATTATTTTTAATGGAACAGCTCTATGTAGCTCAAAGAAGACTACAATTTTTGAGAGACTTTAAACACAACGAAACTTCACTCTTTCCATTACGACCTGTGGTTTTAGACGAAACCTGGATATACAGTAAAGGGTCTTTTAGAAGAAGCTGGCAAGATGGTACTCTCAAAACAGTTAGAAAAAAAAGTGGTGAAGGGGTCCGGTATATAATACTCCATGCAGGATCAGAAGATGGATTTGTACCAAACGCAAGTCTAATTTTTAAATCTGGTAGCAAGTCCGGAGACTATCATGACTCCATGAATTGCCTTAACTTTGAGAAGTGGTTTGAACAACAATTGATCCCGAACTTGGATGAACCTTCTCTTATAATTATGGACAACGCTTCTTACCATTCAGGATTGGTAGAAAAAAGTCCAAATCAATGCTGGACAAAAATGTCACTTATAAAGTGACTAACATCACGAGACATTACATTTGCACCAACAATGATGCAAGATCAGATCTGGGAAGTAGTGAAAAATCATATACCACCAAAACTATTTAGGTAGGCATCGCTGATAATTAAATGTTTGGTTGCAGTTAGGTAGACCTTTGGATAGGAAGCTGATTGTTATGGTTTTTTTTCACTCCATGTTGATTTTTACAGATTGAACGAATTAGCATTACAACATGGTCATCGTGTTTTGAGACTTCCTCCATATCACTGCGAGTATAATCCAATCGAAATGGTATGGTCAGAATGCAAACGGCATTACGATGCAAGGATCGGTTCAATTCAGCCTGTCACACACAGTGCCGTTTTGTCTTTATGGAATGAGGCACTGCACAAAGTAACCTCTTTATATGCTGTTTTGTGAAACAGTACTTAATAACTTTATTGTTTAGGTTACACCGGAAAAATGGAAAAGATATTTTGATCATACAGAAGCATTATAAACCAGGCCTAGGAACGGGAACAACATATTGATACATTAGACATCTTACCGGTGATTGTCAACTTGGACGAATCTGATAGTGACGAAGATTATTATGATGATTATATTCATGAGGCAGAAGAGAATCAGCGTGTTTAAAAATATTATTTTGGGCCGTTTATACATATATACCTACTTGTGGTGTAGTGTCGTTTTTTTCTTTTGTACATACGATTTGAATATGAACATTTGAGAGTTTTTTCAGGAATAAATATCTTCACTACCTGTTTTCTCTCACAATTGCGTTTTTTTTTTAATAAATCGGAACAGTAGATATTCAAGATCCTTATGCGAATATCTCGAGTGTGTGGCAAAAGAACAGAAACTGTATGTATGCGTTGTTATTTCAATGAGCCTGTGGTATAATGCCTACGCTTTATCTCAAATTTGTAAGATATATAAATGCGAAAGGCTTACCGATAAACCATGGCCTATTCTACTTCTGCAAATGGCTAGTTAAGGGTCATTAAAATTCGCGCAACTTAACGCGTATTCTTCACATTGGTAGCATGCTTAATTTCACATCAACATTAGGTAAACGAAATATTAATTTACGAACTGCCTAAACAAACTTTAAGTTACAAATGTTCCTATGCGTTTTCTGTAACCATCATACACTTCATCTCAAAGAGTTTCTGATGCTCTGGCAGTATCCATTTCGACTGTCGTCGGTGCAAAGAATCGGTTACATGAGGTGATTACAAACGGTGGAAAAAGTTTAATCTCGAGTTTAATTCATACCAACGGAGTTCCTCTACATAAAATACATGACCATTTAGCCATTATAAAACCTGGGGACAGGAAAAAACCTATCAGGACCAGATGCCTTACAAGTGATTGTCAACTTGGACGGTCTGATAATAATGAACGATAGTGACACCTTAATAAATAAGTTGAAACGTCAATGTGACAATATGTAAACCAACTACTAATTTACGACCTGCCTTAATTTTGATATGACGTCAGATAGTGTGACGAAAGGTTCAGCACCCTTGAAACAAAGTATATATGGTTTGGCCAAGCATTTGATTCCCTCCATTAGTTTTCTAACTCAATGTTAATTGCCTATACGTAACTTGTAGCTACACTTACCCTCATATCTTTTTGGAACGGCGTTTTTATTTAATACTTTCCTCTTCGTCGTCGTTTGGTAATCCGTTATTAAAAAATGAGTTTCGCACAAATAATTATATTTTAACTCGTTTATGTCTTTCAGGGCTATTTTACGATTACCACAGTTTTTCTGCCATTCTGTACAAAGCGCAAGGTTTTTTATGGGAAATGAAAAAAATGATATGTTCCTATTTTTAATTTTATTGTTAGTGCAATTGACATAAGCGCACTTATTTTTACCCATAATACTAATAATACACTGTCAGAAGGGCGCGGAAGCAAAGCACTACTAGGTACTATGTTAAAACTTTTACTTTCCAGAAGTTGCAAATAGCAAGTATTTTAAATGATGAAAGAGGTAAAATAATAAGTTGCAATTACTAGGGGCGTAACAGTAGTACGTAGCAAAGGTACAAATAGGAAAACATCGAGTCGTAAAGCACTATCTACCATAAAATTGCTCACAAACTTTGAATATTATATTCAGTCACAACAAGAGTACATTAATTGCAAACGCTGTGAAAACGAAGAAATAATTTGTAGAGAATTTAATTTCCTACAAAAAAGTCCGCGGTAGCATATATGTATTTGTTACGTATGTGGTTAAAGTGAAAGGGAGTTGTTTAATAAAACTGCCATTGAGGATGCTCTGTATAATTAGGGATGAATAGGAAACGGAATGCACTAAGAGTACAACACTGACATCACGTCCACAGCATTATATATAAGAGAAGTATGGTCCACAGGGACCAGGTTCGGAGGTGGCTCACGCCACGCTGTCATATATCACAGTAACTTCAACCATTAATCTACGATAAGCGTTCAAAGATATTATTGATGCCAACGCGGACAAGAGGTACAACTTTAAATGGTTGGTACAGCTAAACGATTAAAGATAGATATGTGATAATCCACCCTGATGGTTAGGCAACACACGTTTACATCTGAAACAAAAATATAATATGCTCAGCTGTATATTTTTTATTTATTTTATTTTATTTTGCCTTTATTTTTAAGTGGGCGGGGTTTCAGCCGAGGCTGCTCTACCAACCCAACCCACTATACATTTACAAATATCCATGCCCGAACCCGGATTCGAACCAGGGACCCTGTACCGCAGTCGAGCTTCCACTGAACTGCGCTACACGGGCCGACATAACCAACGACCGTTTTGCGCAGATGCCGAATACTAGGGGATTTTCGTAACGAAGCTAGGCGAGAATGAGAAGAAGATGGCGACGAGGTCGACCGAAGGCACACGCTTTCCCGGTTTTTTTTTTTATTATTCTTGATTATTTTTGGTGGTGGTGTTTTGAAGGTGTATTTACAGGTAGTAACCATTTTATTCTTTCTTGTAGGTACTAGCTATTTAATCATTGAATTTCTTGCCACAATTTGATATTATTTACATTTTGCTGATTTTGCATAAACTACGATATCTGAATCATGACGTACTCCATGCCTTTGTTTTGAGTACCGTTAGATAAATCGTGTTTGTTATACTATACAGATGATTATGCCATTATTTTGTTTAATTAAGTATTTATTTCTGTATTCACGAGGAGTTGATTATCAGTGCGATGTTGCTCTGTCCGATTGATCCGTAACTATTCCGTGAGCGAAGTACCTAATACAGTTTGATTGTTCGCTGTGTCTGTTACTTTCTGATTAGTGGCGCTCCGCAGTTCTTGTGCGCTAGCTAAACGAAGGGGGGCTCTATTACTTGATGTTTCGATGTGTGTGTGTGCGAGTGGTTCAACCTGTCTCCGTGGAGTAGGTATCTCATGCAGTTCGATCTTTCGCTGTATCTGTTGCCTACTCGTCTCGTGCGGATTGTAGTTCTTAGCATCTTAGCAATACGAGAAGGGGCCCTCTCATTAACATTTCCACTATTTAAAATATGTTCTGCTTGAGCGATAATCGATTTTCACATGAATATTTGCTATTGGCCATTGGCACACATGTACTTTTCGTGTTAAATTAAATTATGTTAACGGAAGGCTGGAGTAGAGCCACACCATTTACATGTTTGCTATGTACATGCAATTTATTATTTTACGAGTTGTGTTATCTTAATTGATCGTACAGGTATTTTGATGTGTTTTTGTACTGAATTGATTTATCATGTTTCCCACTGCATTTATGATGTCTTGTGTATTTTGTTTTTATAAACTTTTCTAATTGCATTTTTATCATACAATTTGAGATGTTTTATTGATGTGTATTTTCTCTTGCATTTTATTGCTGTAGGTGATTTATTTCATGTACTTATTTGTGTGGCCTATGCCCGCGTTTTAGTCCCGTAGAAGATTTCCTTGGCATGGTCTTGTAGTGTGCGTAATATATTAATTTATTTGTTCTGGTCATTTTTACGCACAAAAGTTCTGTCTTTTATTTAATTCTCTTCCCGAGTATGTCGCACGTCCCAACACGTACAAGAACCGATTACACAACGTAGGAGTTAATTCGTGCCACCCATATCGAGCCGACTGCCATCCAAATTCAAAAGTGCCGCGAAACGTCAATCGTTTCGACTTGAAAGGTAGGTGGCTCTGCTTGTAGTTTTCTTCCAGAGTTGCCAACGGTAAGTATAGGGTAAGTCAACGTTTTCAGTGTCGGCTCGATTGACCCCTAGGAGCATTACAACCGCCTTCCCAGTTTGGTACTCGTCTCCGAATTTCATGTTCTCTTCAACTAGGATGTGAAATCTGTACACGTGAAATTTGACGCAAAATGGCGGCCGATCTCAACGACCAATCGAAAATTAGCCACTATATTGTCGCCACTGTCCCTTTTAGCGGGCATAATTTATCATTTTAAATCAACTAAACAAATATAGAAAACGAGCTCCTGGGTATGGCTATAGCATGTGCAAAAACCAAATTTTAAACCTGATGTTAGTTTTGCTTTTATTTAAAGTGTATATGTATGAAATTTCATTTAATTGCTTCCATAAATAAGAAAGTTGGCACTGCACAACCAAATTTGGAAAATGGCGCTACATTTGCTTTTATTCCAAGTGGCTATGTGTCAAATTTCATTTGAATGCTTCCATAAATAAGATAGTTGACACTGCGCATGCGCAAAACCAAATTTTGAAACTGGCGTTATATTTCCTTTAATTCCAAGTCGTTATTAATCAAATTTCATTTAAATCCCTCCATAAATAAGAGTGTTGGCACTGCGCATGCGCAAAACCAAATTTTAAAACTGGCGTTAAATTTGCTTTTATTCCAAGTGTTTCGAATAAAATTTCGACGCCTTGTGTTCCGCTGGTCCTGCGCCCGCTAGCGTGATTTTGAGTTTCTACCATTGTCATAGGTTTTGGAATATTGTATTGATTTTCAAGGGTGGGGGTCCTACGTTTACACCAGCACCCCCATTGCGTCCCATCACTTCCACATGCAATCGTTATGATCGTCCGACTTAGCGCCACCTCCTTTAGAGCTAGCAACCCCCCAATGGTGCGGGGCAATTTTTTCTACCTCTTCGCTACACACTGAAGTATTGTGGATTAATTTTGTGGGTGTAATAAGGTATTAACAATATTGTTTTCTAGGGATAATGGGTTACCTCCTCAACGGGTCTGACCGTTGAAAGTTTTTTTTATACTAGGTACATAACGCCGTAGCTTTAAACGCTATTGCCAACTTCATTAGATGGGCGATCTGGAAACTAGCTCTGGCAAGTAGGTAATTTACAACTTTTGGGAATGTAGCAGACGTTTGGCAAAGCCACTTGTAACGCATGCTGAAATTGGAGGGAAACTTCAGAACGGTTATCATATGCTTCTTCAAAGATATTCGGAAGCTGCCCTAAGAACATCCCCTAGCGGATTAGGTGATTGAACATGCTACATATAGCCTCAAAATATTACACACATACTGTACCATATAGTCAACTAGTAAATTTCATTTGTCAGTCGCTTGCTTTCATCTAGACATATCTGCAATCTGTACTTGCAGATGGCAGAGTGGCTGAAGCACAATTTCATCATTTATGAAAACATTGGATATGGTTTTTGAGTGCGGCGCCATCTTTAATATTTTTTAAATGGCAACATTGGTCATGTGATACGTCATTTATTTTTTCTCTTTCTTACTACCTTAAACATGTATGGTGTTAAAATACCTACTCGTTGCTTTTTTGTTAATTTTTGACGTTCTGTTAATTTAAATACATGATTAAGATAGTAACAAAGAGAAAAAAATAAGCTTTCGAATGACTATCACAGACCTATGTTGCCATTTAAGAAAAATTCAAGATGGCGTAGGACGTCAAAAAAATTTGTTAACCTCAAAATTTGTGCAAATGTCTATTTTTGTAAGCGCTGCAGAGATGGATACATTGAAATAATAAAAAAAAAGTTTATTGATTCAATTTTAACAATGGCAACATAACAAGACAAAAAACAAATGTATATTGATGGCCTAAGAAATGTACGTATAAGTACGGAGGATATATTAAGTACAACAAAATTAACAACCATATTTTTACCACATTTAAAACTTAACAATTATTTTTGCACTTAAAATACAAATTATTATTTTCATTTTAAAACATGCGAAAGCAGTAATAAACCAAAACTTCCCATGAGAAATAAACTGGGGGGCACGCTTGAGAGTAGCCGAAAGCGTTCGTCCGTCATTGCGATCGACTTTTTCGTCGTCGCCCACCCCAGCGATCTCTGAACGGCCATCTTCCACTTGGTATACCTGGCGTCGCGCTCTACGAACAACAGAAAAAACAATTAAATGAGTCAGTCCAAGGACTTTCAAAGGAGGCTTTGAATGAAGAATACGCAGGAGTTTTCAAGAAGTCTAAGGTTATGTCGATTTGCTGAAATTATTCTTACCGTCATCCGTTGTGGTCGGAAGAAACGTATCGCTGGGCACCGACTCGCGATGTATATCCGAGATATTCCAGACGTTGATGCCGGCGGCGTTACCGGCAACTATCGCCGCGCCCAACGCGGTGACGTCCTGCGATTGCGCCCTAAAGACCGGAACGCCGCTAATATCCGCCTGTAACTGCATCAGTAAATTATTGGTAGTCATTTTCCCGTCAACGTGCAGTTTGGTAACGGCTATTCCGCAGTCCTTATTCATCGCCTCTAGAATGTCGCGCGTTTGAAAACAGACCGCCTCGAGGGCGGCCCTGATGATGTGCTTCTTGGTGGTGAACGCCGTTAGGCCGCATATAATTCTGAAATCGCCGAATTACATATACCAGAAGTGCAATTGACGAAAGTGACACGATAAAAGTGAAACTTACACACCCTCTAGCATCCTGCCGCCAATAGGGGGCGTAGAGTCCCTTAAAGGCCGGAACAAAGTAAACGTCGCCAGTATTAAAAACCTCCTTCGCCAGAGATTCAGTGTCTTTCTGCACGTCGTTGATGAAACCCATATTGTCCCGTAACCAATTCATTGCAGCCCCAGCAACCGCGACACTTCCTGAAATATGTTCACTAAAGTAACTGCCGCAGCAAAACGAGGCGATTCAATACCTTCCAGCGCGTAGACTGGCGGCGAATTTCCCAATTGATAAGCTATCGTCGTGACTAACCCGTGCGAGGATTGTATCTTCTGAAACGTCACCTTTGTAATGATAAAACAAAAGAGATGCTGCTGCATACCTGCGTTCCCGTATTGTACAATAAAAAACATCCACTTCTGTAGGTGTTTTTCGCCTGGCCTACCTTGAAACAATGTTGGCCCACTAAAGCCGACTGTTGGTTGCCTAAAATCTAAAATGTGTAACTTAGTCAGGGATTCCAAGAGGTGTGGACATAAAGTATGTGCCGTAGAAGAGAAATTAAACGTCCTCATTTTAAAAAAGTTCATTTTGCGCCCTAATGTGAGCGCGAGGTGAGGCGGCGCAGCCGCGGAAACGAGTGTATGGCCCGTCACAGAAAACATTGCCCAAGAAAACGTTGACTGATAGCGGTATGTACCGTCCAAGAGAACACTGACTGGCAGGCGGTATATAGCCCACTGGGTGCGCGAGGTGAGGCGGCGCAGCCGCCGAAACCGTGCGTATGTCCAATTACAAAAAACATTGACTGATAGGTGGCATGTGATTCCCCGGGCGCGCGAAGTGAACCGAGCGCATGTGCCGTTCAAGAAAACATTGACTGACCGTCTGCGTATTATGTGTACGAACTCGCCCACCGTTGGGGCACCTATTACTCTGGGGCGGTAGGTAAAAGGGGCAGCAAATGCCTGATTTCAGATACTCGGAAACCAAATAAAAGCGGCAACCGTTTCAAAAGAGCAAGGCGAGACAGTGGAGAAGAGGTTGAAGGTACTCGAATGACGCTCAAATATCTGGCGGTGCAGGACCATAAAGCGTTAGTGTTGTGGATCAGCAAATGTCTTAGATAAGCCACCTCCGTTCAGGATAGTGGGCACAACGTAAATGCAGAAACTCACAAAGTGAAAAGTGGGCCCGGCACACTTTAGGGTATTAATGGAAGACGGTATGGTTAATCTAGATTCGGTTAAGGCGAGAGTGGAAGAGATATACACATTATGAGATGCTTTAAGATGCATTGGGGTTTACCCAGGTGCGTTGCACTAAGAATGAGGATATATGTCCTAAGTATCCTAAGCATCGATTAGATAAGTGCGAGACAATTACGCTCTGCTGCGTAAATTGTAAAAACTCGCTCATAATGAAATAGATTATGGGAGCACACAATTTATTTACAATAAAAGTGTCAAATATAACGCTATGCGAGGGAACTTAATGATCCTTATCGACCGGACGTCTCGGAGCATGGTCGATATTAACAATTTTCGTCTAGGATTTGCTTAAAAAGGGGAGATTTAGGCAGAGAGCAAAGGCGACATACTCTTTTTTTATCTCTACGTCTATTGCAGTAATGACATGATTGTTAAGATTATTTGCCAATTTAACGGTATTCTCGTACACCATGATTATTGCCATTTATAACCCATTCTAAATACAAATTGCACTTTTTTATTTATACTGGTCATACTTTGAATTAAATGCATAGAGATTCTACGTAAATATGTTGTTTTCCAATTTACAGTACCCTTTGTTCCAAGCGCTGGTTTTGCCCCCCCAAACCACAATATGAATTACTGACCGATTTACGTGTTTTATTTATATTTAGATGCAGTAGTATGTTCCCTTAGGGCTGATATTCAATACAAGTATACAGAACTACATTTTAATTTATAATTGAATTTATTGCAGCACATTTCCCTTTTTTTTAGTATGAATATATTACTGTTTATTTACAGGGTGCTTCATCTGGGGGCGAGTGACGTACGTTAGGTGGTTGATTGTTACATATTGCACTTGGCATTTAGAATTAATTACTTTATTCTAATGTTTTGCCATTACATGTTCCTTTGTTTTGTTGCAATGTGATACGTAACGTTATGCTCCTACTATTTATTTGAACCGGGTGATTATGATTATTAATATTTGGCAGGGTGACTTGTTTCGAATATGTACTGTGTTATATTTGATACCGATATTTAATCTCGAATTGACGTAGCAGAGGCTGGCTAAAGTTCAGAACTGCCATACGCAGAGATATATGTTTTATGTACTGGTTTTTTTTGTGTCTTAGAAAAGAGCCATTTTGCCGATATTGCTAATCAATGCGTTGAGTCGACCCTTGACATGTAGTGTCTGAATATTGGGTTTGTGTCAATCTTTGTTATGCCAGTGCAAATATGTCAACTGTCAAAGCCTACATAAATGCTATATATTTTGTTTATGATTATGTATGCGTGCGAGTTTGCCGATGGTTGCTCTGTTATTTTTGTTCGATTACTGTCAGTACTCATGGTAGAGAGCCTGGAGTTCGGTCTTTTATCACCCGGCACTTTATAACTGGTAGGCTGGACTGGCCCTAGAGATGTGTGAATGAAAGAGTTGGGGTCCCGCTTAGTCGTACATGAGGGCGCTGGATAGGCCCGGCCTTACTTGCGCAGGGATCTGCTAAAAGCATGCGGCGTGTTCTCGTTGTATCCTTTCGTTTTTTTGTATCCATTAGGGTATGAAATGCTCTTCTGAGAGGCCAACTCCTAGCGTTTTCATACAATGCTGACACGTCATGACCAGAGCAACTAAAGACTACTCGGTGTGGGATTTGGAGAGGCCATCCAATATCCAAACTTATTATGTGAATTTATTGTTTTAATGATTGTTTTTTGTTATGTGTGTGAAATATTGATTCTTTAGGAATTCCAGTGGAGCCTGTGATTCGACATTATATTAATCTACTTGACAACCATCATAATATGCATTCATGCCATTACAGACAACTAATTTTGCTATAAAGTTCAATATTAATTTGTTGGCTGGTTTTTTTCTTGGTCAGTTCTTTTTTTCCCCAGCCTATTGTCATATTTGTACTCGGTGAACTACCATTTTCTAAATTTAATCTTACAATGCGAATTATTTGGAATAAATCTCCGTTTTTAAAGCGATGTACTTGTTTTAATTGTATTCCTTACTTGATCCTCACTCTGACAAGCAACACATATCTTGTAGCGACTTTTAAAAACACAACGTAGTAAGTGGTCCTACTATTTTGTTTTTCAGGTTAGGTAGCTTTGTTTAGACGATCATGTGCCATGGGGTTCAGTTAGTTTGGGAGGGAAAGTTTTGAATTTAAATCTCTCGGAGCTGGCCTGGGTACGTCACAAGTTTTATATTCTCAGGAGGTTAGCACGAGAGCGCCAATCTTAGTGCGTAAGGGGGCTAGGGGTCTGCTCTTAAAACAATTCACGAATATTAATCATATGGCCGTCCAACTACACACGGATGAAAGCCCAATTACGTTGGGCACGAGACTTGAACGACACCCAGCATGGGGTGGGGCCTAGTGCAATACGGGCGTTGACATAATAAATGCGCATATGTGAGTTTAAAGTTTTAATTAATATAAAAAATAATCAAGTTTTGTCTTTTTCTAATCATCTTCCTTTTCTATATAATAGTCTTTCGCCCAATATAAAAAACCTGAAGGAACGACCATTTTATCGGGAATGCAAAAGGCACCTATGCAAAACTCTGTCATGTAATATACCGAACGAGAACATGTTAAATTTAAGTTTTATGCTGCTGCTGAGATTTTTGTTTTTTATTAATTTAAATGTACGGGTTAAGTGCAAGACCAACTACGTTGCAATTGTTCTTTTTTTCTTTTTGTTATATTTCAGGTACTGAAGTTGAACTTCGTCTTTAAATGTATTTGTAAATACATTGAATAAAGACATTATTATTATTAACTTGTCAGGTGTTGATAAAAAGTTTTTTGGCAAACAATGTCACGTTCGAGATAAACGATGCAGGTGGTTATCAGTTCTGGCGGCGTAAATGGAATTTCGAGTGTCGTCGGGAATAATTATGTTGATTTTAATAGTGGAGGTGGTTTTTGCTTAAATAGCAAGAATTAAGAGTAAACAGCACCGTCTCAGGTTATTTTGAAAGAGAGCGTATTTGTCTGTGATGCTAATTTTTGGTACCCGTAATCCAGCCGGCTGTGGAATTTTACTATCCGAGCAGTCACAAAGATAAGTCTTCGAGCCAGTTGTGGTGTTTTACGGGCGAGTTGTTTTTGTTTCTTAGTGGAATCTGTCAGATTCGTGTTAAAGTGCGAGTTTCGTCGAACATCGCATATATCTTGTCCTGGTCAGTTTATTGAATTATTATTCACAGAGCCGAGTACTTTAAGAGATCTCTTAAATTGTTTTTAGATCGACTGTTTGCAAACCGGGTGTGTTCTATTTATAAGGCACTGTTAACTTTACAATTTTTTTCTTACGGGATTTCTTGTATTTAATTTTTTTGTGTACAGTTTTAAGTCCATGTTAGGATTTTATTCTTGTCGGAACCCAGCTGTGCCCTGAGGAAACATTTAAAAAGGAAAAACTAATTAAGTAATTTGAGCTATCTAGGTAAGTGTCTGTTAAGTGACCTCATACACTATTGCACACAGAATTATTTATTTGGCGCCCAACGTGGGGCCACTTTACTTTTGTAAATAAAATATACAGAAGGATTCATAATATTCTGCTAATATTCTATTGGAAATAATTGTTTTCAAGATACATTGTGGTATGAGATGGACTGTGATTCAGAAATGATAGATGATGATTCCTGCAAATCAAACAGTCCTTGTCCTTCACATACTCACCCCCGATATTGGTATTCCATCTAAAACAGTTCCATTATTAATTTTGCCGTAAATTTCCGAACTGCTTCGAATTTCCGGTAATAAATACGAAGGAATGTGAAACGTGTAAAGAAGCACCGGATCCCAATACAGAGTGTCAATGTTCATCAAAAACGTCCGCGACGCGTTCGTCACGTCCGTAATGTGCAAACCGCCATTCACGCCGCCCGTCAAATTCTGCAAAAAAATCAATCGAAAACGAGCTCGTACCCCCTGCACACTTACCCAGACAATCCACGAATCCACGGTACCAAAAAGGCAGGTACGCGCCTTGCACGCCTTCCGGACCTCTCGGACGTTATCCCTGAGCCATTTAAACTTGAACGCGCTAAAAAGGGGGGATACGGGCAGGCCGCAGAGCGATTTAAAGTGGTTCTTATTGTTCTCCGGTAGTTTGGCCAGAATTTGGTCGACGGTATCGTTCGCCCTAATGTCGCTCCAAACTGAAAAAAAAAATTGACTATCTATTATACAGGGTGTCAATTTTAAAACATGACGTTATGAGTGACAACCCCCCCCCCCTCTTCCAAAATCCTAAATGGCAACCCCATACTTGTGACACATCGTTGGAAGGCTACTGAAAAATGTTTTCCAGTGGTGCCAATAATATATAATATATCAATATACAGGGTGTTTTTTTGGGAGCTTTAGTTAAAAGTTTCTGGGAAAGTAAAATAGGTAGGTTTTTGAAAATTTGTACTTAGGAGTTACTCTGAAGGCCGAATCGATGTAAAATATTTTCAAAATGGCCGCACTTCCGGAAACACCGGAAGTAGATAGTAACTTCGTTATTTTAAATGGCAACCCCTATTTTTTATTGCTTTTTTGGATTCTACGTGAAATTTCACTTCTTTTGATACCCATATGTCGATATCTACCATTTATGGTTTTTAAGTTATTTTGACTTTAAGAAAAAAAATGGCGGATGCAGATGGTACCTTGATAATTGATTACTTGCAAACGGTTGTAGTCATGGCAACCTATTTTTATCAGTGCATAGAGAATGAATAGGGCTTTCTTTTAGTGCACTTAAAAAAAAGTTAAGTTGCGTACGACCGCCCCTATGGATATCCAAATTTATGAAACTTCAAAGACTAAAAACTCAGTTTTTTTTAATGGAATGACCATGTTCTTACTATTCCATGAGATAGAGAATCGAAATGGGCATATTTTGACAATACATGTTCCTATAGCTATCTTTAACAGTTTCTGACTTATTCCCATTTTATTGAATTGACACTATTTTTTTAGGATTTTCTTTTTAGTAGTCGGCCATGATTCTATAACAATTGAATTTTAAACAAATCTAGTGACACTAATCCATCACCCACTGTTATAGGTTAACATAAGTTTTTCAAAAATCGAAAAATGACTCGCAGTGGTTTCACCTATTTTGGAATTTAATTGTTATTTATGGTGAAATGGGCAGAATCGCGGCGCGTGCTTTCCGTACATTCATTCGAAAACTAGAACGAAATTGTATGAATTTTTGAAATTTTGTACCCCTAATGCACTACAAACCGTTGAAGCACAAGTTATACAAAGCTCTACAAGAGAATATTTAAGAAAATGAATTGAATTGCAAATGCAAGATTAAGAAAATAAATTCAATGCAAAATATAAAAAACTTTGTTGAAACATTTTTGGTATGGAATTGTTGCTAGAACAGATATCGCATTACCTCTCTTAATTTCCAGACTTATACGTTGTTTAAGAAATTCAGTTGACCGACTCTGTTTAGATTTTTCAAAAATTTTCTGTCCTATATCCTTATTAAATGAGTTATTTATTAATGAATTATTTAGACTAGAACTAGAATCAGTGGTATTAAAGAATCCATTCCTTGATTTGTTTAAAATTCGATTGTTATAAAATCATGGCCAACTACTAAAAAGAAAATGCGAAAAAAAATGGCATCAATTCCGAGATCAATTCAATGAAATGGGAATAAATCAGAAACTGTTAAAGATAGCTATAGGAACATGTAATATCAAAATATGCCAATTTCGATTCTCTATCTCATGCAATATTAAGAACATGGTCATTCCATTTAAAAAAAACTGAGTTTATAGACTTTGAAGTTTCTTAAATTTGGATCTCCATAGGTGCGGTTGTACGCAACTTAACTTTGTTTTAAGTACAGTAAAAGAAAGCCCTATTCATTCTCTAAATGGGTTGCCATGACTATAACCTTTTTCAAGTAATCAATTATCAAGGTACCATCTGCATCCGCCATTTTTTTTTCTTAAAGTCAAAATAACTTAAAAACCATAAATGGCAGATATGACATATGGGTATCAAAAGAACTGAAATTTCACGTAGAATCCAAAAATGCAATAAAAAATAGGGGTTGCCATTTAAAATAACGAAGTTACTATCTACTTCCGGTGTTTCCGGAAGTGCGGCCATTTTGAAAATATTTTACATCGATTCGGCCTTCAGAGTAACACCTAAGTACAAATTTTCAAAATCCTACCTATTTTACTTTCCCAGAAACTTTTAACTAAAGCTCCCAAAAAAACACCCTGTATAAAGTCAATATTCATTAAGACAATTTAACAAAAATTTAATAATTAGCAAAAAGAAATAAAAATTAAGGCATGCCTATATGTTCAAGATTTGGTCCCTAAATTCGAAGAAACGGGATCTGTTATCAATAAAAAAAGACAGCAACCAAGATTGCTTAATGAAGCAGCTCAGGTTGAAGTTCTTGGTCAATTTGCCATAAACCCCTCAATGTCAACATTTAGTTTTTTTTTAATTATTCATTTTTTGATAAATTGTCTAAATGAATATTGACTTTATTGGTACCACTGGAAAGCATTCTTCAATTTCAACGATGTGTCACAACTCACAAGTATGGGGTTGCCATTTAGGATTTTTGAAAGAGAGGCTGGGGGGTTAAGGGAGTGGGGGGTTGTCACTCATAACGTAATTCTGGTTCCCCCTCGAAACGGTTTTGTGCGATTTTCAATATTTTCTTAGTTTGGAAAATATGGCCGACTGCAAGTTTTGAAATTGACACCCCATATGTATTCAATACATGACAGTATTATTATTACCCACCATTTCTTTGTACTTTTAAGGGAAAGGAATTCTCTAGGCACTAAGCATACAGCCCTACAGACTTTAGCAAATAAAACTAGTATTGATGAAGACAGAGCAAAGAGAAAAACAAAAAAATTAGAACGAATAGAAAAATAAAGAAGAAATAATAAAATATTGAAAGAGTTAAACATAAAGTGGCCAAGTAAAAATGTTCAATCAGAGCAAATGAAACCAAAAACTGAAATTAAAGAAGCTTACAAGATAAAAAAAGGAATAGTGGAGGAACTGCTTTCTCATTATTAGTCTACTTGATTTTAGGACATGGTTTTTTAAAATAAATTTAAAACAATCAAAAGATGGTTTGAGCATTTACAAAAGACCCCTAAAACAAATGAGGCAAGCAAAGATCCAACGAAAATGTGCAAGATCAAGAAAAACATCCACAAACGATGCAGAAAAAAAGTGATAAAGCCAAAAAAGCAAGAATGAACAGTTAAAATTCGTTTAAACGGCAGTATATGTATTAAAAAATTGTATGCAGAGTGCTTATTACCAATGGCATTGTGCAATGGTTCACCCGTCGTTTTATCCCAAGCTATCACGGTCTCCCTCTGATTCGTTATTCCAACGGTGGCAATCTCGGATACGTCTGCAAAGTTAGTTAACGTTAAATGCGAAACCGGGACTGCGTATCTCACCTAGCCTACTGGCGACTGCATTAACGCACTGATTAACGGCGTCCAAGATTTCCATCGGATCCTGCTCGAGCCACCCTTCCTTCGGACTGTGTTGGGTAACGTCGACTGCATGTTCGGCGTACTCTGTCAGGCTCTGAGTGGGAAAAACGCAAAATTTCACGGTGCGAGTGCCCGCGTCGATTACGCCGATGTATTTCTTCGTCTGGTGGGCAGATTCTGGCATTGTTCGTTACACTAAAAAAAACGTAACAATCACGTAACGTAGGTAATTTGCATGTTTTATGACTTATGTGAGGTTAGCAATTTGTACTTTGAAATTTATCTAATTCGAGTACTCGGGGCCAATTACCAAGAAATTAGGAAGACTGATTTTATGGTTACGTTTCCAAATACAAACGGGGAATCCCCTTGGGCATTCAAAAATGTTGACTCAAAAACCATAGAACATTGCACTAACAGAGCTATAAGCTAAGATGAATATTGTAAGTTCATAAAATATATACTAATGAATAAACAAAGATAATACAAATACTGAAATCTTAAGACGTTGGTCCTTAACTCAAAATTATCTACAAAACTATTGTTTATCTATGCTATGTTTACTTTGAACTTTGAATTTTGAAATAACCCTTGATAAGTCCAGAAAATAGGTAGATACGGATAATACAGGATGGGACCAAAAGTTCGTACCTATATAGTGTTTATTGTTCACCCCTTAAGGCGGGTTCATAGCTCTCCGTTCATCCGTTACGTTGATCCGTCAAACGTCATAGCAATCCGTCCATATCGGACGTTTACAAGGTATAACCATAACCTAAATTTTATTTTGTACTGTAGGTACCCACCGTAATCTTCATTGCATAGAAACTACTATCAGATTAACACCGCGGAGAACAATAGGCGAATACTGTTAAATTTGCTCTTAAGCGTCAGCGAAAGGCGTCAGCAATTATATAACAAACATAACCTTACTCTTGTTAAAAAACGGACCAACGGAAACGTAAATGTTCAACTTCAACCAACTTTTCCGTTGAAAATGGACGACGTACGGTTTAAAAATTTACTGCGTTCTGATTGGTTAACGGACAAACGGAAACGTATGAACGGAGAGCTATGAACCCACCTTTAGACCATATGTATGGCCTAAGCTTCACCCTCCCTGGTCACAGCTAGCTGTCTCCACGGGGTTGATACCTGTCTCTGATCAAAGCGTCACAGTGACATACCACCAAGAGGCTCAAGGCCCTGGACTGTCTGAGTCCGATTGCTTGTTGCCACTGAGCCTGGAATTGACGGGTTAACCAGTCTTTAATCCTAGCCCGGACAACGGAGGTAGGCTCGGGCCCGACGAAGACCCCATCAACCTGAGAACGTGACTGCAATAGAAAATGCACCCAATTCCGTTGTAAAATGCGTTAAAAATTCGATAAGCCTAAATGCACACGTTACCGCGAAGCAAAAGCGAAAAGCACCCCTCTAAATCACGTTCTCCCCTTTTCTAAAATTCGACAATTTTGTAATCGGAACTCTGGGATTTCCAAACAGCACGGCGAATTCGAATGATAACGTTCAACAAATAAAACTGTCATACCAAAAACCTGAAAACGGCTTAAAATTCATGTTAACTAAGCGCACTTCGTTTGATACATCTCAATGGGTAGGTACGTTCAGCGACGCAGCTGTTGAATGTGTTAAGGCGTGAACGATGAATATGTTGACTTTTGGTGGAAGTCAAAAGTTGGTAATAATTAGCAGCCACAATCAGACGCTATTTGCTGCAACACATCTGATTACCTATCAGTAATTATGCTTACTTCATTGGCCGGGTCGAAATTCCAAAATTCGGTAATCCAGTTAACATCCATTGTGGATTTGAATTTTAAAGTCTGGCGCAGGTCTCCGTTATGTATCGTACTCTGGCGACCTTGATTAACGCAACAGAAATCCCAAAATATTAATTTCCTGTTTTCCAAATAGCAAAAGCTTTCGGAGGCTACAAGAATAATTAAAATATCTGGACGGGAACAATTAGAAAACAATAATTAGACACGGCATCTTGGCTTTCTTATAGGCGGCTAAAACGACGCTGCAAATTATAGCACTGAACTTTATCTCATATTCCTATTCAAGCCCTTTCTAGACCATTGTAGACTCGCCTTGCTCCAGAAAGGACCTCGGAATTTTTAAGAGTCGGCCAAAAACTCTACAAATGGACTAAAAGACCGCCTTTTCCGAAGGGAAAGTTTATACACGCACCGCTACATTGCGAACATGAACAAACGTATGTCTGCCGATAACAACGTGTACCTTTTCGAGATAAGTGTCCATTTCCAACCGTGTAAACTAGAGCAAATTAACGAGTCACGAATTTGAACCAAGGATATTTCAGTTGAGTTGAACACGACACCAGATGAGAGCGATAAATTTGTTAATTGATTACATGTGTACAGAATGGTTCAATGTTTATAATACATGTTTGTACAGCAGTATTATATACAGTACTAATAAAATAATAACAAACATTAATAAACTTTCATAAATAAGAATTAAATACATTTGTCGATCATCACTTCGGCTTAATTAAATTAAATGATGTCGTTGTTAACAGTGCGTCAGTACGTAGACTTAGGGGACTATCCGAATTGGAAATGGCGGCTGTACTCCCCAAAATTTCGTCCGGGTATAAATTTTCCTCGGAACAGACCAAGGCCGGCCCGCTATCGAGCCACTTCTGCAGGAACTCCTGTTGACCGTCGTCGAGCCGACCCCTATCGAAACCCTTGCTTCCCTCCGCCGACACGTTGATCAAAGGATCGGAACCCAACTCCAGACTGGAATGAAGATCGAAGTCCTCCTCAGTGATCGAGCCGACCGATCGACTGATGCGGCGGTTCTGTTTTAACAGCTTATCGTAGTTGTCCCTTCGGGGGCGCTCCTCGACGATGACAGTTTTCGCGTCGATCGGCTGAGCGCCGGCATCGGAGGCGAGATTTAGGGCGGAGTGCAGGATGTCGGTTCCCTGCTCGATGTTTTCCAAACCTTCGACGACGTTGTGACCTGACGATATTACGCTATAAGTCGATTTGGTGCTGGACGTTTTCGAATCTGCAACATACAATTGCTTTAGATAACCGTCTATATACCGTATATTGCACTTTAAGTAATGTTTTGAGTTTTAAGACACAACTTTTGAAGTGACAACAGGCCAGATGGTGAGTAGATGACCAATGTATGTTCTGGACCAGGAAGTGACGTCACACTAATCAGAAATGAGGTCATGACGTCACAGCCAATCAGAGACGGATAGGCCCTTCTACGCTCCTCCCTTTCAGGTTCGGAAGGTGGTCCAACAGCATTTCCACCCGGTTCAACAGCTATGTGGACTGGTACCGGTTCTAAAATATGTTGGACCGCTTCACGAACCTGTAAGAAAAAGCTGTTGGGTCGCCTTACGATCTTGAAAGAGAGAGGCGTAGGAGGGCGTACCCGTCTCTGATTGGCTGTGACATCATGACCTTGTTTCTGATTGGTGTGACGTCACTTCCTGGTCCAGAACATACATTGGTCATCTACTCCAGTGAATACCATGGCCGCAGAAAGGAGTTAATCTCGCATTAAAAAAATTTGTATTTCGTTCAACATAGGAAAATTGACACATATACCGCTTCCTAGTAACCGTGAACGAAAGTATGTCTGGAGATAAATGCGACGGAGAGATGGAGGGGTTTAGAACCTATGTGTGGAAGTATACACTGCATTCACGCTCAAAAGATTATTTCTTAAAGGGACTGTTTTAAAACGAGTATCATTAATCAGCCAATCTATACCTGACTCGATTCTCTCCTGTGCGGAACCTAACTGCTTGAATTTCTCGGTGTTCGTAAACGATTTGAAAGCGTTCGAGGTGATCTCCTGCGTCATGTACGCCTCGGGTATGGCGAGAATCTCGCCGAGACCCGGTCTCGAACCGCTCTCGGATTTTTTCTTGCTCCTATTCGTAGGACTCATCGATTGCTCCTGGTATTCCAGTTTGAGGGTGTCGAGAATCGGATCGGAGATATTCGACGCCGATCCAAGAAACGGCTTTTCGAAGTGGCTCAGAAAATCGGTCGACTTGTATAAGGTGCCTATGGACGAGTCCAGCTTCTTTAAGCTTCGGCAGCTCGAGGATAGTTCGTCGCTCGCGTCGGGACTTTTTAATAAGTGCTGTAGGTTGGCTAAAGTTGCACGCAAGTCGGGAGTTTGTTGGTTGCAGATCCAACGCAATTGCGCGATGTTTTTGTTAAGTAAATAGACGGCGTAATTGAATTGCATTTTGTCTTTGCCCTTCGCGTACAGTGGAAAGCTGGAATGACAACAAAAGATCATGGCCACTCCACTCATTACTAATTTGAGGATCATAATCTACGACTACTTACTCTCTATCGCGATCCGACAACGCCGCATTAATGTGATCGGTAATGTACGATCGTGAACCGAAATACGTCACGTTATAACGAAGGGGCACTTGCAGAAATGACGAACACATCAGTAGTATATGAGAGACGTAACCTAAAGCGACAGCGAGACCATCCTCTGAACAGTCTACGATAAACGATTACAAACGGCGTTTTCCCTCATTCCATCGACTTACCGTGAAGCATATCCGAATTGGGCAAATAAATCCCGCCGATTAGCTGCTTCTGCGGACTTAGCTGGTTAATCGGGTACATAAATAGGAGCTGGCTCATGAGTTGCTGGCGGCGATGCTGAAGCTGCGCGTTCGTGTGCAGCTGTAACTCTTTCAACTGGATAAGTTTCGTGTACCAATCCTTTAGTTTTTCCGAGTCGCGACTGAGTATCCGATAGTTTTCCATCAGGTGGTGGCCGCGATCGTCACTTTCGTCGACGGCCGCCGTATAGTTCGTAACCAGCTGGCGAATGTGCGCCGCTTTCTTGTCCTTCTCGTGCGCGAGTAACTTCGTTTTGAACTTGGCAACTTCGATTTGTTTCGTTAGATTGGTAACCTGCCGCCGCTGCTCGACTGACGGTTTCTCCTACGGAAAGAATCCGGCTTATCCTTAATACTGAGGGGAGAAAATACGTGACAATAAAAAAAAACCACAGAAGAGTTTCTTTATTATACCTACACAGCGGAATCGCAGAAGTAAATGTACTATATACCTGCTATAGTCAAAGGTGTGTGAGTCAGTCAAGGTCAGAGCTTCCGCTCGAAAAAGCGCTTGCGAGCGGTTCACTCGCGAGCACTTTTCGGAGCGGCCGCTTGGTGCTCGATACTCGAGCGTTTACTTAGTGTTCGGGCTCGAGCGTTTTTTTCCGCTCGCAAGCTCTTTTTCCGTTCGCGAGCGCTTTTTCCGCTCCTGAGCGTTTTTTTTTCGCTCGTGAGCGCTTTTAACCGGCCCCAAGCGCTAAAGGATTAAGAGGGGCCTTTAAAACAAGTTGCCAGATTTTGCCAAGCGTGGCGCTAAAGTCGCTAAAAATCGATATTTTTCATAAAATTTCAGTCAGCAGATTCGATTGTCACTATAAGGTAACACCCACCGCTTCCCCATAGAGGGCGCCTAAAAGTCACTAGACATAAAAGGTACCGCAATCTTAGACTCTCTAAGAACGTAGTTCAGTGCAGTTTTCAAGTTTTTCGGGGCCCTGGGCCATTCGTTCGTGGAGGCCCCCCTTACCATCAATAAAAACATTTTTAAACAAAAACATATTTTACAGATTTATTTTTTTTAGACAAGTTGTGCAGGTTAGACAGGTTTTTTTCGGACCTTTAGTACCGCAAAGTTTTCGATGACATTGTTAAAATCAATTTCTTAGAGAATATCATTTTCAATACTCATACCGGTATCCCTTACTCTATGCATTAATTTTGTTTAAATCTGCATTTACTTTAAGGCAGCAGATTTTGCACTAACTTTTTTTCATTCACACAAACTTTTGGGGGTCCCTCAGGATTTCGGGGCCCTAGGCGGCACTGTCGCAATCATCCGCTATTTTTGGCAAAAAAAGCAAGTGGTATTTATTATTGGTGTGGGTAATCACACTGGACACATTTAAACATTTATCTTTTTTTGGTTTTGTTCTCTTTTCCTTTGGAATTACGTACGTGTAATTAAGTCACTTATTCAATTATTCAATTGTAAGTCTATGCTATTTAAGTCTTACTTACTTGTTGTATTTTGTATTTGTTCATAATTGGTTTATACACTGTTGGGCAATAAAGTTATTCTTATTATTTTTATTATTAACATTCTTGAAAGTATACCTTAAAGTCACTAGATATAGAAAGTACCGCTATCATCCGCCATTTTTGGGCAAATTTGCTGCCAACCAAAATTGACAAATAAAATCTGAATAGCTGTAACCTTTTATAACCTAAGTTCATAGTACTGTCATGTTTTATAAAAATATATAAATAGGCGCTTTCTTTCGGCTACTTCGCAATCATGATTTCAAAATCGTGATTCGTAGGATCACGTTTTACGAAAGAACGCGCGAATTTAAATCAAAGTATGGTTAAGTTTACGGAGTACACATTTGCATTCGAATTACATATTTTTTGTTTGGATTTTGAAAATAATTTAAATACAAGTGGAAGTACTTGCACGATTATGATCCTCTTCAGTTACAAATATTGACTAAACTAACAATTGAGCAAAAATATCATTGCATTTATAGGTTAGGAATTCGTGATGATAAAACTTTTATGTTCAGTTTGTTCACGATTTTAGCAATCATGATTATAAGATCACATTTCGAAAGAACGTGATTTGACAATCCAAACGCGTTTGGATCACCGAAAGAAAGCGCCTCAGACATCTCCAAACAGTTGGAACAATCCCTAACATTAAAGTTACTAGAATCTGGTAACTTCCGCCATTTTTGGGCAAAAATCATGCGTTCTCTCTCTAACACACGGGCCCAATGGATTGCGGTACTTTCCATATTTAGTGACTTTAGTATACCTTAAAGTCACTAGATATAGAAAATACCACAATCCATTGGGCGCGTGTGTTAGAGAGAACGCATGATTTTTGCCCAAAAATGGCGGAAGTTACCAGATTCTAGTAACTTTAATAGAGATTGTTCCACCTGTTTGGAGATATCTGTATATATTTTTATAAAACATGACAGTACTATGAAGTTAGGTTATAAAAAATTACAGCTATTCAGATTTTATTTGTTAATTTTTTTAAGTTGGCAGCAAATTTGACCAAAAATGGTGGATGATTGCGGTACTTTCTATATCTAGTGACTTTAGTATACCTTAATTCTTGGCGCCATGTTGGGGAGAATACAGAGACATGGAGAGAGGAGATCGCTGATCGACGAGTGCGCATCCAAGAAAGGGTGCGACCTCATGGGCGCTGCCATTTTTACACCCGTTGTGTCATGTTGTGTTTATAGTGGTGTTATTTTAGATTGTGTTCGTGTTTAGGAGAGCTTTTTTCGAGGTTTAAGTGTTTATTTTGTAACGTCAACGTCACTGGCATTTTCTTTTGTTCATTTGGATTGAGATATTAGTTTCTTCCTACGGAGCTGCTGCCGAATAGAGTGTAGTGTATGAAGATTGCGTTAGATGTCTCTGGGTTGCGTCAGTAAACCTTTATAGTCCTGTTCAAATTTCGCGCTTCAATGGGTGTCAAAATGGCAGCCCCCTTGTTTTGTCACTTCGCGCAGTTTCATGCGCTATCTCCTCTCTCCATGTCTCTGGGAGAATACCTGAACTTTACTAGGTTTGCCAACATGGTTGATAATTATTCGTTGTCAATGTTAGATGGTTTTAACCACATTACTCATTTATTATCAATTTTGGAGAGATTATATTTGGGCAATTAATTCCGGTATCTCAAAAATTACCTACTACTTCAAAGTAAATGTTAAGTGTTTCAAGTTTCAACCTTGTTTTTGTGGTTAATGATGAAAATTGAAATCCCAAAAAAGCTTATTACAGACTTCTTGACTAGTAGAATCAGAATTTTATTTTTTTAAATTTTATTTCTTTTATTTTACAAGGGTACGGTTGCACTAAACGTGCTAAAACAGTGCGTAATACGTTAACGAAAACAATTTAACAAAAAAAAAATATATTAAGATAATTATGAAACATGAGAAAAAAAAGTTGAATCATTGTGGTTTTACAAATTATATAAAAAATTACTCATTTAATAGAAAGTAGTAATAGTAGAATCAGAATTTATCCTCATATTTGCATGATTTTCACTCGGATTTTCAGTAATACGAGAGTAATGTGTCTAATAAATATACCTAACTTTGGAATTATGGCGCCATCTTGCGGGGTATGTGTTTTAAAGGGAGCTCTTAAGCGCCACTTTTAGGAGTACTCGGAATTCGCAAGCGGTTTCGCTTTGAAAAACAACTCTATGCTCGCGAGCATTCTTGAGACAATTAGATCGCTCGACCCAGCTCTGGTTAAGGTACAGTGGTAAAAAACTCCATTCGATTAAAAATTCTTTTACAAACAATCAACAGAATTATGGTTTTTAATCTCATTAAAAAGAGTCTCCTAAGGTTATCCTCTCCAGAAGATCAACAGTGTTCCAGAAGCTCTGAGAGCCATTAACTGACTTTTGGAGTTCTTTAAAAGCCTTTAAAAAACCTCAATCACTTCAAAAGGGTTGCTTGAAGAGCTTTTGTATGTTTTTGGGAACTTTTAGAATCTTAAAGGATGTGTGTTTTGAGCGTATTTGAGAGCTTCCAAAAGCCTCCAAGAGCCCTTTCGAACAATTAATCAATTTAGTGTTTAAGAACCTTTGAAAGCCGAATCGTGCAAAGCCTTTAAAAGATTTAGGAGTGTCAGCAGTCGTCCCAAGTCTCCAAAGGTTATTGAGAATCTAAAAAAACTGGCTGCGAGAGTCCGTAAGAGACTTATTACTTTGAATAGCTTTCATGAGTCTACAAGGGTGCTCTAGAAACGTCGAGTCGAAATTCTCTCCTTCTTTAATATGCGCATGTTTAACGGCTTTAAGAATATTTAAAAGCTTGGAAAGACTTCAGCGGCCTTGAAAGTATTTAACAGATCTTTACAGCTTTTAATAACCTCTACAAGTTTGTAATATAGCCCTTAGGATCTTTTCTGCTATCAGGTGTGCTAATAATAATAATAACCTTAATAATTTCAAAATATCATTTTTTTTCCTTTCCTTTGATTTCTTTCTTGTTTTTTTATGTACATATTATGTTTACTCTGTCTATCATATGCATGTATGAGAATTTAATGGTTAGGTGCAAGAACAGCCTGAGGATGAACCTCGCCAAATAAAGACGTTTTATTATTATTATTAATAAATAAACTGGGCGTGATGAGTGTGACTGAAATAGTTATAGCTCCACCTCATTCTGTAGCACGGCTTCAACGCTACGCATTTGCCGTCTATACCGGTTTCCCTTCCAGTTATGTTGTTTATAGTGCAATGGCCATAACCATTATAATCTAAATGACCCACGCCGCGCCGTACCATAGATTGCGCATGCGCACCTCACATTTGATCCTCCCCCTCATCTCCTTTGGAATGTATAAAGGCGCAAAGCTCAATTAGAATATAAGGTATGCTATTCCTTCGTGGTCTAGGTCTAGGACCCAGACCTTAAATTTTTTTGAAAAGCAAATTACACAAATGCTTCAGATATGCGCAGTGTATGGAACGGCGTGGATCATTTAGACAAACCTTCAAAAACCATGTGTGTTAAAAAAAAGTTTTTTAACCTCAAAATAGATAATACCATTGAACACCAATAGCATGTATTCACTCCATGTCGAATACAATACCTGCCATTGTAGCATTTTATTCAAAGTGGTCATCGTCAACAACTGGGACCCCTGCCTTTGAATAGGCGGCTTCGTGAAATTCCGTTTCTTCACCTCGTCGCTATTGCACAAGCCGCACCTGCTAATAATCTTATCGCGTAAACTTTGTACATCTAGGCTTTGGTTTTTTATGTTCAGCTGCAACAGGTGCAGCTTCTGCAGCTTGCTAACGGTATAACTGCACTTAATTTCGCTCTTACAACTCTTCGTAGTCGTAACCCTGAACACCTTCGTCTCCGATTCGTCACTCAGCACGTTGACGTTGTCGATGAACTGCAGCGGTCTCGGCAGGTCGGTTCGAAGCGAGACGTAACTGGTGAAATAACCGCCGCGCAAATAAAATATCACAGAGTTCTCGTTAAACGAGTCGGGCTGCACCTCGGACAGCTTGCCTCCCAAGTACACGAGCCCGGAGAGATTAATGATCCACGTTAGTACCACTAGATCCGTTTCGTTTTGCCGCACCTCCCAGATTCTTATCACGAACGCTGTAAGAAATCGATCAGTTAACTTCTAACACCGCTTGTGTCAGAACCTGACACTGAAGGCGTCGTGAAGCTTTCGGCATCCAACTCTTTCCATTTGGGATTGCAACTATTGCTCTTTTCGCTCGTGTAAAACGGTGCACACATTGTCGTTAGATGGAGCGTGTAATAAAAGCTACCGGACGATCGTGACGACACGTTGTAGACGCTTACTTGTTGAAGGTGGCGCAAACGTAACTGAAAACCGAACTTGCCATTCTCACTTCTCGGCCACGGCCAGTTTTACCTGCTGTGTTAGTAGAGGAATCCATTGACGACATCCTTGAATGGCCAATACTGAATCAGGTATGGATAAATTCATATCATCTACAAAGTAACAATGTAGGAAAGGTTATACACGGAAAATTAACACTACTTACTTCATTATCTAAACAACGGACATTAAATAACGGGCATTTATATAAAAAAAACTGTAATATTTCCTCGGTTCGTATGGCTAATTTATGAATTGTTTAAATTATTGTGAATATTTCACAGATGTAAACAAAACTTTTTTCACGATGGCCATCTGCTGGGAATTTGACGAAACAAGGTGGCTACCAGACAGGCACAGTATACAGGGTCGTCCAATCTAAAGTTTATAGTTCATTTGAAGTTACTGTTAAGTCTTCAAAAAACCGTTTCCACCTTGAACTCAATTTATTAATATGTATTTTGCCTATTTTCCCAGTCAACAAGATGTATTGCAAATTTTAGTCAGGAATTCTATCTTCCCCAAAGTCGCTTGAGGATTGGAGCCGGTATATTTTATTGTGGGTTCAGTAAAGATGCATAAAATTTACAACGCATTTCATATTTTTTGTAATTAGCGGAAATGGTTCAAGTAAAATAGTATTGTTGATTTGTGGGCGTGGAAAATATGTTTAAAGTATAAGATGTTAAAATTGCGTTATTTAGAATTAAAAGGAACATTTGCCCGAGTGCAGTTAAGTTTATATCTGTTCGGACGCGACTTATCCTTAGACTGCGGTAGAGATAGTCTCACGTTGAGTTTTTTTTTATTTGTGCCCAGTGTTAAATCAAAATTTGTGCAATTGATAAATAAAGAAGTTGACACTTGCTGCGCAGTTGATATTGCGCGTTCTGCGCATGCGCTTATTAATCTGATATTTACAATATGCAATACGTTTGCTTTTACTATAAGCGTCTTTGGTTAAAATTTCAAAGAAATATCTCCATAAATAAGAAAGTTTTGGCAGTGCGCAGTCTGCGTATGCGCACATCTGATTTTTACTATATGAGATATATTTGCCTTTACTACAAGTATCTGTGATTAAAATTTCAACAAGATATATTAATAAATAAAAAAGTTAACATTGCGCAGTTCAATCGTCAAGATTTTCCCTGCCAGAGCGATACGCTACCGAATGCAAAAAGAACGAACTAAATATCTTGAAAACTGTAATAGTTAAGGCCTCGGACAGACAGACAGACGGACGGATAGAAATAGTGGCTGCAATAGCGCACCCAACTTCGTTGGAAAATGCGCTAAAAATGATTTATTGGAGGTAGCTGGCCAGATGTTTTGTGGGCAGTCAGCGACGTCGGAAGTGAATAACGATTGGGGGAGCACAAGTCAGCGACCATAGAGTCTGAAAGGGCCCTCCCATGCAAAATTGTGTACGAATTAATGCGAAGCAGTGGGTTTTTTAAGTGACCCTGAAACCTGTTTATTTAATAATCAATCAAATAATGTATTTTTGAAAGAAAAGTTTTGAAAAGAATTAAAAAAAGTGTCTGAGGATGTCTAGTTATATGCAACTGAGCAACTCAGAGATACTTATTGACTCGATTGAGAAAACCATAGCCATAGATCATTAATATTTTATTAAAAAAATAATGAAGAACTAAAACATACAAACGTTACAAAAATTTGTTCCTATTTATTGCACATTGAGCATTGTAAAGAAAAGCAAGTATAAAAAATCTAAATATATCCAAAAATTTTCCGCTTTTCCGCAGTTTTGCTGGCAAATTTTTTCAATATATCCTCTACTTCTACACTTTTTGTAATTTCTGCATGCACATGCAGTAGAAGATGGTTAGTCGCTTTTGAGTGATTTATCTACTCATTTTTAGAGGGGGCGGGCTTGTGTAAAAACTGAGGAGGCGACTCTCTGACCCATACTTCCGACATCGCTGTGCGCAGTGTAGTTAAACGAACGCTATTGCACACAGCATTCTTTATTTGGCGCCCAACGTGGGGCCACGGTACTATTCATTTGGCGCCCAACGTGGGGCCACGGCAATACAAAGCTAAACTAGTAAAAAATCCGAACTTGCCGAGGGTACCAAGGCCTGGGACTGCAGATACTGCTCAGCTAAGGAGATTCTAGCGTAAGGTAAAGATTATACAATAAAGACAAATCTAGTTAAATTTTAATATGGTCGAGGGCGATTCATACATAAATGGTACATGAGAAAATATGTACATGAATAAAAAACATAGCCAATACTTTTTGCGCTATATACAAACTTTGGCATGGGGTTGTCCTGAGGAAATAATAATCCTTACAGATCCACTGATTCACACGTCGCAATAAGAGTGAAATAAAACTATAGAGAGCCTTTAGAATAATTAATTTAAAATACATTTAGATCTTTTTGTAGTATTCGATTGTTCACACTTACCGCGGATATGTCCTACTTAGTTGCTTTGAAGACATCGAAATTTCTATAAAATACATTTTGATTGTGAGATGTGAATTACCTACACATACACGACTTGAAACAAACACAAAGTAGAACGATTTTACAAGACTTATAATTTGCATGTAGGTATTATTAGTGATGTACAAATGCAAGCCGAAAGATAAATAATTATTGCAAGACGGGATCAAAGTTAGACTGGGTCAAAAAAATTTTCTGTGTCACTTACTCTTACATTCAGTTTACCAGGTGGGTCAAAATATGTGTGACCCAGCCCAACTCCGGACGGAGCACCAATCTCCGCCCCACTATCCCAATTTTGTACCAAATTCGTGTAAAATATCACAAGCCATATCGACGTTGTTCCTTGTAATCCCCAGCGCTTTTATCACGGACTCCCTCGAGTACCCCTCGCCCACCAGCTTTTTAATGTAGTCGATGTTGACGTTCTCGTAGCAGACCGAATTGTTTTCGTCGGACGTTAACGGATTGTACCTTTCCTTGCTTCTAGGCGGCATCGGCATATTTATTCGGATGTTTTCGTAGGGCGGCTCGCGAGTGAAGGTACTTTTTAAAAAGTCGATCTGCGCATCGTTAAAGTTCGGCGTCGTGTTCGACTTCGTTGGGCACGCGTTCAGCTGCGACGTCGGCCAATATTGACTCTCCTTCGAAAAACTTTTACTGTCTAAGTTGTAATCGGATATTACTATGCCGTAAATCGTTGCCGGCGAACTTAATTCGACTAAACTATCGGTCGTGGAAACGCTCGACTCCCGATTAATATCTTGAAGCGAATTGCTCTTCAACGTTAATTGCGCTAACGGTAGCTGTTGCAGGTTGATTCTTGATTCTTCTATACTACCGTTCGAGCTTGCGCTACCGTTTGTGCTCGTCGTCGGGACCGTTTGCTCCATCGTGGGCGAGTTCTTTCTGGGAGGTAGAGGAGGAGGAATTGCCGTTGTCGGTGTTATACTGCGACGAATGCTTCTAGGACTACTACGAGGCGATATCATTGGACTTACTGCACTCTGCAATAGAGAAAGTTCGTCAGCGTCTCCCTATAACGTCGGTTAGCTACTCACAGAAATTTCCGACCTCGGGGATAAAGCTAACGCCTGCAAACTGCTACCTGAACAACTCCACAAATCGCTACCATCCTACAAAGTTTTAAGATCAATTTCAGTTCTTGTTTAGATATGAAGATGCTGTTTATAATCTAATTTTGTATGTGTAGATTGTGCATTCCGTTGTGTTTACTTTATCACCCCTTGCTGTGAAAGTGTCAGTTTCTCTTGAAATAGAACTTCGTCTACTTATTTAAAACAACACATTAACGACTAGGTACATTTTAGAGGACTTAAACCTTATTGGCCTACGCTCTTTTACTAAAAATTAATTAGTCGCTGCGAAAATATCAAGAATGGCTCTTCCTAATTTACCACAAATGAAGAGATTAAAATGACGTGAAAACTGAAATACTTGGAAGTTTGCTGTGTAGGCATACTACCAGATGGAGGAATTCTGTTGAAGGCAAGGAGGGAGATAAAAAGGAACTCGTTGCAGCCAGAACCAAGCTGATTTTATTGCTTGATCCCTTATTACTCGTCCACATTCGCGAAAAATGCCAAGGAATTTCGGATACTCTTTTTAAAGCATTTGAAGAGTCTGGATTAACTAGGAAAGTTGGTTTTCTACGTTTATAAAAATAAAGCTTGATCATTGCTTATATCGATGGAGGAATTTGTAAACAGCTAAACAGTGTTAGTTTGGAACTGAAAGAACATTGGAACCATTGGCTGGTCTTGCAGATAAATATCAACAAATGATTATGGGCCTGGAGGGTTCAGGTATAGAAATGACCGCCAAGAGTTAGTTCAGGGGATGTACCGGGTGACCCAATAAGACTGTTTCTCGGCCATACCGTTTGTCGTATGTATGACTTACAAGTAAAAAAATTATTGGGTAAATTGGTCATGAAGAATCGATGGAAAATATTTTCAAGTTCTAAAAATGACCACCAGAGAGCGGAACTGCACTTTTAAATTTTAAAATTGCATTTTCTTTAAATTTCGCATAATAAACTAAACATTCTTTTTTCACATTTTTAAAGAGAACCAGTTTATCTAACATTTCCGTAAAAACAAAAACTCAGTTATTTCAAAAACAAAGATGGTGTGGGGCGTTCAATTGTTTTCGCAATAACCTGCTTTAACTTCTTAACCGTTTGACCAATTTTAACAAATTTGGTATCGTTGAAAAGAGCATTCCTTCGGCAATAAGAATCAAAATTAGTTAATTTAGTTGAATCCTTTCCCGACAGGGGGCTAGTTTTGACAGTATGACCCAAAATCCTAAAAAAATCAAATCGAATAATAAGACTTTTCTTTATGAAAAAGTAGCCAAATACCTAACATCCAAAGAGGCCAGTGAAAACCGTTTTTCTCTCTCTCGTTCCTAAACCTCAAATATTAGGAAAATGAGATTAATTAATTAGATAATAAAAATGCTTAAATTGTATCTTAATTTACTTTTGACGTATTTCCGGTTTTTGTCGATGGCGCGTAGATGTTTGCGAAAAGCACCCTACACTTTTAGGTAGGCATTGGAAAATTAAAAAATGAAACACGCTGCATTATAAAATAATAACAAAAGTAATTTGTAAATTATTGTGCTGTGTTTACGCATTCAGAAAGTGCAGTATTTTGAATATGTAATCTTTTCTAAAATGCCGATTTCTAACCAAGAAGCATTTAATATGCTGGCGGCGATGGTTGGTGGTTGATTCGGATCACGCAAATAGAAGATGCGGATAGCGATGGCCGCATTTTGAAAATACTAAATATATATCGCTAGCATATTAAATGCTTCTTGGCTTGAAATCGACATTTTAGAAAAGATTACAAATTCAAAAAACTGCGCTTTCTGAATGCGTAAACCATTGAATTGCGTAAACACAGTAGAATAATTTACAAATTACTTCTGTTATTATTTTATAATGCATCTTGTTTCATTTGTTTAATGTTCCAAGGTCTACCGAAAAGTGTAGGGTGCTTTTCCGAACAATCTTACGCGCCATCGAGAAAAACCGGAAATACGTCAAAAGTAAATTTAAGATACAATTTAAGCATTTTTATTAATTAATTAATTGATCTCATTTTCCCAATATTTGAGATTAGGAACGAGATTTTGAAAAACGGTTTTCACTGGTCTCTTTGGATGTTATTTGGCTACTTTTCCATAAAGAAAAATCAATATCATTCCATTTGATTTTTATGATTTTTTTTAGGAATTTGGGTCATAGTGTCAAAACTAGCCCCCTGACGGAGAAGGATTCAACTAAATTAACTATATTTTGGTTGATTCTTATTGCCCAAGGAATGCTCTTTTCAACGACACCAAATTTGTTAAAATCGGTCAAACGGTTAAGAAGTTAAAGTAGGATATTGCGAAAACAATTGAACGCCCCACACCATCTTTGTTTTTGAAATAACTGAGTTTTTGTTTTTACGAAAATGTTAGATAAATTGGTTCTCTTTAAAAATGTGAAAAAAAATGTTTAGTTTATTATGCGAAATTTAAAGAAAATACAATTTTAAAATTTAAAAGTGCAGTTACGCCCTCTGGTGGTTATTTTTAGAACTTGAAAATATTTTCCAACGATTCTTCATGACCGATTTACCCAATAATTTTGTTTACCCCTAAGTCATATGACGAACGGTTCTCGAGATATGGCCGAGGAACAGTCTTATTGGGTCATCCGGTACAAGTAAACTATTCACACAGATCTGCACAGGGTTCAAACAAATACAGCTTAAGTAAGTGCTCCATTTCTAAATATTTATACCTGAAAGATTAGTACCTACACCTAATTTGATGCAATTTGTATTTATCTGTTTTTTTCTTTATCTTTTCTCATACTCTTTTTTATTATTTTTATAATGTAATTTTCTTCTTTTTTTCGTGCATCGGAATTCAAAATAGCAAGAGGTTAAGTGGAAGAACAGATGGCATTATTTAATTATCAATCTGAACTTCGTCTTGCACTTTTCCTGTTTATTTTCTTTTTTTGGTTAAATACGGGCAATATTATTATTATTTAAAATGCTTTTATTATTAAAAACTTCAGTGAAAATGAAGGGTCTGCATTTCTTGGGGGGCCATGGTCTGGGGACTTCAAGAAATCTGTGAAGTGGTATAGATATCATGAATTCGGACATACGTCATAAGAAGAAAACTGACGGCAAGAACAAGTTTTGTGCTACACTGGCGTTGAAGTGTCCAGAAAAAGAATGGATTTTGGATTCTAGCGCAACTTCTCACACGTGCAAGGACCTTAATCCATTCGTGAATTTTCAAGTTTTGAAATTATGACAGCAAATAACTCTACAATGGAAGGACAATACATTGGAAACGTCAATAATACGAACGAAAGTGTTAGAATAATGTTCTCCATCTGCCTGAGATGCACATGAACTTCAGCGACGTCGGAAGTGAATAGGGGTTGGGGGGGGGGGGCAAAAACAGCGACCATGGAGTCTGAAAGGTCCCTCCCATGCAAAATTGTGTACGAATTAATGCAAAGCAGTGGGTTTTTTAAGTGACCTTGAAACCTGTTTATTTAATCAATCAAATAATGTATTTTTGAAAGAAAAGTTTTGAAAAAAAATTTAAAAAAGTGTCGGAGGATGGCTAGTTATATGCAACTGAGCAACTCAGGGATACTTGACTCGATTGAGAAAACCATAGCCATACCTATAGTAGATCATTAATATTTTATTTAAAAAATAATAAAGAACTAGCTCGCTTTTGAGTGATTTATCTACTCATTCTTAGAGGGAGCGTGGCCCCTCTTGTGAAAAACTGAGGGGGCGACTCGCCCCCTCTGACCCATACTTCCGACGTCGCTGACGAACTTGCTTTCAATTTCAAAATTGTGAGCTCAGGACAGTTATCTTCATCAAGCAAGGATTGAGAGTTATTAATCTGGGAATTTCAAGTTGGATAAACCGAATAGAACATCATATGTATCAATGGAGAAATCAAGAAATTTGATTAACTGCAGCTTCAGAATAAACTGCACACCTGTTTTAAAGGGAGGGCCATCTAGTGGTTTGTTTTTTAATCATAGGTTATTTCGACACTGACAGTTCTGTCTTGTTTATTATATGAAAAAGTCAGTATCATACCTCCGCGGAATGAAATGAATCGTTTTACACTTGAACAACGTTGAAAGTTTATTTCCAAAGTCAGTGTAGTGTAGCTCAAACAATGCGAATTTTGAACATAAATTCTGGCCGAAATGAGGCTCCCACTGCGCCTGCTGTACACGCAAATTTGTGCAAAAATTTCGAGAGAGGGGCATACCTACTCGCGGTCCACGTAGCTACTCACAAGATACAATTGACTCAAGAATTAAAATTCCAAGACCATTTGCTTCGTTATCGCTTCTCAGCTTGAAATCAACGTAGATTTTTTCCGATGAGGCGCATTTCCATCTTGGCCACTATATTAACAAGCTCGGAAAACTCGCACGTGAGACGTCGAGAAGCAGCAATCCATCCTCAGAGAGAGACAGTTTGGTGAAGATTGTGAACCATTTGGCTACTCCCTGACGGTTAATGGAGAGCGCTACCGAGGCATGATCGAGGGAGCCATATGAATGAAATCGTGTTCCATAAATAATGGGAATATTTGTTTTTTCCAATAAAGTCAATATAATTTGAAAAAAATTGAAAAAAACTTCTATTTGGCCCACCCTTTTGTATCGCCGATAACACGGGCTTATCTTGAAACTAATTAAATTTCACCTTACACAATGCGATAACAAAATCTTCATATCGCAATGGCCAGATAAAATCTTCTAATGCAACGCGCAAATACGATCAGATAGTCCTACCTTTTAAGACATAATTTTATTTTCACAATGGCCATTTGCACCGCCACATTTAAGCTGAGCTTGGTTGTCACGGATTTTAAGCTACGCTTAAAGTAAGGCAAACTTAAATTTGTCAGTGCAAACGGGCATAAGCAATTTAAACAAAACTTTAAGAAATTGATATTCCACATACAGGGTGACCCATTACAAAATAACGACATCCTTAATAAAAATACAGCAAGAGCTTTTCTGTATATTAACGTGATGCGCATGGATCAACCCGCTTAGATACCCTCTCCCATCCAAGCATTTCTGATCATCATCACCTGCTCCATGCTGTAAATAGCATATCGATCAATCACCGGAAAGCACACAATTACAAATGGAAAAAATGTTCAAGGGCACACTGTATTGCACCTTCTGGTATACAAATCGTTAAAATTAACATGCACATAACATGCGGTATGCCAAGCACTACTTACCGTGCATATGAAAGCGGCGCAAAAAAGAAGAAAGCACATTTAATGTTATAATGTACATGCAGCGTGAACCGTCGGTTAATCACAAATAAAAACACAATTAGATAACTAAATATATTTGTATAATTGTTGTAAATTAAATTAAATACACAATACTAATTCATATTTCGATAAAAATAATACAAGGAAATCGAAAATTTCCATTATTTGTAAATAATACTCTCTAAGTGATTTAACAAAAATAAGTGCCAATTATACCACATAAAGTTAAGTACATGCAAATTTTCAAAATGACCCAAAATCACGTCGACAAGCGAATAGTGCATATCACAATAAACGCTAAACACAAACCTAACCGTACTAAAATTAAAAAATAAAATAAATAAAGCTCAAGCATATTAAATACAAATATAATACGAAGCACAGCCCAGAGCTATTTTGTGTAATCGTTCGTGCAATGATTTGATGACGATACCTCTAATTCCAGGTCATCGTCGTCGATGTTCTGCGCCAAGACCGCCACCTTCGATTTGTTGTGGGATTTTTTGGGGTCAAAGGGATCGACGACGATTTGCTCGGTGCCCTTGATTTCCGCCCGACAGAACGGACAACCCTGACCTTCGGAATCCTGAGGAGAAACTTTAGGGGAAGGTGATGAGTTAGGGTTTTACTTACGATTTGCCACGCCGTCAGGCAGGGGGTGCAGAGCAGATGCCCGCATGGTTCGATGCGCACGTCCTTGTCGTTTTCGGCGCAGATCTTGCACAGCTGAAACGTACTGCCCATTTCGCAATATAGCTCGTACTGCTCCTGCGTGACCGCTATGTGATCTTCGGGCGTCGGCTGGACCGCCCAGGAGAGGTCCGGATTAACCGATCGCCCGTCCGGATACAGGTAGCTGAAATTTTGCGGTAAGGGCATCGGTTGCGGCCGACTGACGCGTACTTACAACCCCTCTCGGTACCCATCGAGAAGCGCCTGGATCAGACTTTTATTTTGAGGTATCGTCTGCAAAATTTCACCATCGGACGTAACGTAACCGATCGCCCACTGTCCCAGCCTCGTGCACGACAGACGGAACACGTAACTACCAGCCTTGTTGATGTACTTCTGAAGGCGCGCCTTCACCTCGTCGTACGTCAAAAAGGCCACGTACCCCGGATGGGTGACCGCCAAAATTTGCCAATTTCGCAGCAGCGTCGCCCACGGTTGAAATAAACTGCAACTGATAGTAAGAGAGGACGATCCGACCGATCGAGGCCACTTACCGAGTGAAGACGTCAAACTCAAAATTTGATATGTAATCGTTACACGTGAGATCTATTGTCGACTTAAGCGCCATCGCTTCTAAACCCGAGTTGATCGGATGAACTTGATTTAATTCTTGCCTAAATAGTTTCCATGGTACTAATGTGCTGAAAAACAAAAGAAAATATTTCAGAATATTATGAGTGTTATAGCGTCAATATCCGGCGCAAAGAACCAATTTTGTGACAATGTCAATTTCAAATTTTAACTGCTCGCCGAAGAGAGCATCCGAATCGATGGTTTCTATTCGCGTGACCGAAAAAAACAGGACCCGATATGGTGCCTTGGGGAACATCGCAGAAGCCCCCCTTGAAACGTCCAAAAATGACAAAGACAGCAACCGAGGTTAATTATTAGACACAGTTCGTAGACACTTCCGGCGTTCGTCATTCAGATAAGTGCCCTGCAATGTAATGTGTGCGATGCGATAGGATTATCTCGAAGTGGTTGTAGACACAAACGGGGAAATATTGACATAAATAGTAATCGTGTCAGATGAGTAACGACCGCACGGAAATTACAGTTACTTACCTTTGACAATGGCGTTTCCGACGATTCATCGTGTGATCTAATTATATACAAATTATATAACGTGATAATGATACGTCCAAATGTATGTTTCAACAGCTACAGTGCCGTCCGATTAAGCGGATTATCCAATACATAATATAGTGCGATTCTCCTGAAATTTGGGCAGATAAAATGCCATAGACGATCCCAACATTGACGAAAATTCTATTCTTGAAAGTGTTTAAGAGACTCCGAGAGTCTCGCCGAGCCTTCTAAAGGTCTTTACTCTTTAAGAGTCCTTGGGAGCTTTTAAAATACTTCAAAAAGCCTCCGATCTTTTAATGGCCTTTGTGTTGCTCCCTTTAAGAAGAAAGCCGCGAAAGCTTTGGACATACTGTCTTAATGAGAGTAAGAATCCATTAGGACTTCAAGGGCCTTAAAACACTTGAGGACAGAGCGCGGGACACAGTTCTTTAGCCCTCAAAAGTTTTCAAAAATCCTTAAGTGGTTCCTAGAATAATTTGTTTGGTTGTGTGATAAAAAGCAACTTACGAAAATAATACAACTCATAATGTTACATGTACCCACTACGCCACTGGATATTCCTTGTTACTGCGCTTAAAATATATGAAAAAGGACGAGTGCGCATTCGAACTTCAAACGTTCTTTCTCCGTGAGTGCTGTACCTACTCGTACGTTGAGTAATTAGTACTTTCGAACCCATTAAGCACTGCGGGTCTATTAAAAAAACAAACACGATTTTTTCCAATATTACGTGCCTGACAAAACTTTTGCAGCAGAAGCCATATAAATCATTAGGTATAAAGCTTAAGAAAATTCTGAATTTAATTTACGCGTCAAAAATAGCAAACTTATGTCCCCTCGCTGCCATGGAAAAAATATTGTATTCTATTCTCAACTTCATTTTATTTCGTGCTCCGCGTCCCATTTTTAATAAGAATGACAGATGCCATTAGAATGCACAATCATTTGTTACACTTTATCTACCCTTGCGGTTAAAGCAATCACTTTATCTACCCTTACGGTTAAAGAGCGAGTTAGCCTACTTATTCAAACCTATTAAAATGTTAATTTAGCTAACATCTGCTATAAGATAAAAAATTTATTATTGTTTATTGTATGTATACTAACTATTGCTCAAGTACTTACCTATTTACCTATTCCACATAAATCCAGTTACTAATCACGCAGTACGTAGTTATACCTCTTTTTTTAATTTTATGATAGGATGCCCCCTCAGTGAGTACCCTCTTCCGTTCCGTTCTTGAGGTATAAGGGAATATACCCGATCACGATAAGAGGTCGAGGAGGAGGGCTATGGTTAGTAAAAATTAATGCCTTTCGTTGAGACCTTTCATTAGAGTACCATGAAGGATGAGGAGTTCCACTCCCCCCCCTCCGCCGTTTTTGGTAAATAACGTAGTACCGGGGACCAGGGGGTTAGTCTTAATGAAAAGGTACTCAAATCTTCGAATGTTGGGAGGTATTTTGTACCCCCCGGTATCACATCTTTTACAAATTCACTCACCCCTAATAATCTTGTCCCAAAAATTATGGTGAGGGTGCTAAAGGTTTTTGGAAAGAACGTATTACCGGAGGGTCTGGGGGTATTACACCCCCCGGCTCCGCAGAGAGTACCTTGGATCAGAGAGTTCTTTCTATGTTACCTCCAGCACCCTTATGGCAGTATCAGCGAAAATAATCAAATTTTCGAATGGGGGGGGGGGGATTAATTAATTAACGCATTACCGAGGGGTCTGGAATACCCCCAGCAGTGTACGTTGGGCCAAGAAGTTCTTACTAGTAGGTAAGTAGTAGAAAGGTCACCTTGGCCCCTCCCTCCCTACCTCATTTAAGCCCCGCCCCTCTCCTATTCCTTCAATTTGATTAACCCCAATCCAAACCCAGAGGTAAACGCGAATCGGATATAGACGTTAACGTCAATTAGACCTTCCCGTTTGGGACAAGGAAATATTTGTGCTAACACCCAACTGCTTAGATTTAGCAGTTTATCTGCATCCCATAATGGACATGTAATACTTACTAGTCACGAATCCAACCCAATTGAACCTAAACGTGAACGCGAACCCCAAAGTGAAGTTTGGGCTTTAATGTCTACATCCGACTCGCGTTCAAGTTAGGTGTTTATGTGATTTAAGGTGTGGGAGAGAGAGAGGCGGGGTATACGCCAACCAATAGGAAACCAGCATTTCTGAAAGGGGCTGGGCTTAAAGCAGGCAGAGTGAGGAGTGTCCAAGAATAGTATACGGGACCCCTATACTACTCTATCATTGTGATCTTTCGCAAGCTTTCGTAATAGTGTTAAAGGTTTTTGGAAAATAATGTATTACCGAGGGCGTCTGACCCCCCCCCCCCCCCCCCCCCCCCCGTAGAGTATCCTAGATCAAGGAGTTCTTTCTAGTATTATTACTATATTTATTTATTATTCCTGTCTTGTTTTGGGCCCTCAACTATTACTCGGTATATTACTCCCAGCACCCTTATGACAGTTTTAGCGAAAAGGTAATCAAATCTTCGAATGCTGGGGGGTATTGAAATACCCTCCAAGTATGGCTCCAGACCCGCCGGTATTACGTTCTATTTCAAACGAGTTCAAAGTTACTCAGCCTTCAACACCTTCATGATGTTATCTCGAAAACTATCGTGGGAGTGCTAAAGGTTTTTCGAAAAAACATATTACTGGAGAATCTGGGGGGTTTGGAATGCCCCCGGTGGAAACTACACTAAGCCATGGAGTTCATTCCAAATTACCTCCAGCACCCTTATGGTAGTCTTAGCGAAAGGTAATCAAATCTTCGCAATAACCCCCAGAATTTTGTTGATTATCAAAATCGCTCAAAACCCCCCAGCAGAGTACCCTCGCTCAAGAAGTTCTTTCTAGTAGTACAGAGGTTACCTTGGACACCCCTTACTTTACCTCCTTTAAGCCCCGCCCCCTCCAGAAATCCAGATTTCCTATTGGTTGGCGTATACCCCGCTCCTCTTCCACTTCTATAATCTGATAAATCTTCGGATAAATCTGAATCCAAACTCAATAGGCCAGTCATAGGGAATTTTTACCTATAAATAAGTCTGGAAGTTTTGAAACTTTGTAGGTTTATAGGTTTTGGGATCTAGAACTAAAATTCACAATCTGAGACATGCCAAGATGGCGCCTAAAAACGGTTTTTTGCAAATATCTCCAAAACTACTTATGCGTTTTTCGAAAAAGTATGTGGGGCGCAAAATTAAAGAGCAGGAAGTTTCCTATAAAATATTCCTAGTAAATATTTATCACGAAATAATGGCATATCTTTTATTCAATTAACCGATTAATTCATTAATTAATCCATGTTAATAATTTATGATCAATTAATTTCGATTTAAAATGCTATACTTGTTTCCACGCCACCCAAGAGGTAAAGTAAACGGCGCGTTTTTTTAACGTGGTATCCCCTGTAGAAATAACACAATCAGTTTATTACACTTGCACTACTGTCAAGTAAAATCAACACGTAAACGCTAAATACGTGCGAAACGTAACACTTTTTCGAATCTACTACCAAACACGCTTATTATCGAATCAGTACAACTGCTAAGCGACACGACAAACCATCTGCTTCGAGGCGCCTTGTAGAGAGATGACGGGTAAATAGCCAGCGCCCTCTGGTGGCGGTTTATTGCAGATGTGCACATCAGCATCTGCACTTATGCTATGATTAGTCAGTAAATTATGAATGTAACGAGAAACCAATTGAATAGCCCGTTTTACTATAAAAGATAAATTTATACGCACGGGTATACGGAGATAGGGACACAGTTTATAGAAATTAACAGAATATGATGTCATTGAATCAGCTCTTGAGCCTAAACGGGTCACTTTAGCAAAAATATGCTAAGAACATTTCTTGTAAGAAATTCCTGCCTCTTCAATTTTGCTCTCAACATACTTTTTCGAAAAACGCATAGTTTTGAAGATATTTGCAAAAAATCGCCATCTTGGTAAGATGGTGGTGCCGGTGGCATGTCTCGGATTGTGCATTTTATGAATTTTAGTTCTGGACATCCAAATCGGCAAAGTTTCAAAACTTTTTCCGGACTTATTTCCAAGTAAGCCCTATTTTTGATCCCCAATGACTGGCCTACAAATGTGAACGCGAATCTGGGTTTGGGTTCGGGCTTATCAGATTTAAGGAGTGGGAGAGGGGCGGAGTATACGCCAAACAATAGGAAACAGGGATTTCTGGGGGGGGGGGCTTAAAGAAGGCAGGGGAGGGGTGCCCAAGGTGGCACCTTTACTACCCTCTAGCATCTTTATAGCAGTCCGAGTGGCAGTCTTAGCGAAAAGGTAATCAAATCTTCTAATATTAGGGGTATTCTATACCCCCCAGAACCCCGGTATCATGCTCTTTTACAAAATTGCTCAGCAATCTCGACCTTTATGACCTTGTTTCGAAAATTATCATAAGAGTCTTAAGGTTTTTGGAAAAGAGACGTATCACCGGAGGGTCCCTCGGCACAGATTACTTACCCTCAGTAAAGACGTTCTTTTTCCATTACTACACTTTTAGAATAACCTAGCAAGTAGAAACCTCTGAGAAAATGAGCAGTGTCTTACGGCCAACCCGCCACTGGTCACCGTACACGCTCACGAACGGGTCAGAATACAAAACTTTTATACCTGAAAGGTGGAGCTTGGTATTTGAATGTGACCCTCGTGCCGCCTTATTAATAAATTCCGTACACGAAGGCCTTACAAAACAATTGAACGCAGCCAACGCAATGAAAATTGCGACTTCGTACGCATCCATTTCGTTTACTATACCATTTAATTAGGCGTTATGCAAATTAGGCAAGGACGGTAAGTAATAACGGTATCTCGATTATGCAGGGGCCTCACTTCCGACGAATCGAAAAACGCTTCCGGCCAATTGCGACATAATCCACGGAGACGCGCCGGCCAGGAGCGTGTGTATTTTTAGTCAAAATACGCGACGAAAATCGCGCGCTAAATTTGGAAGTCAGATGATGAGTTTGGGCGCCCACGCGAAGACTCCTCGCTTCGATTTATCTTATCAAGGCGAAGCGTGAATCATTGCGGCGGCCTCATAATGAATGAATAAGTAAATGACATTGACTGTCTTTACTACAACAACAAACAAAATTTCGAGCGCAGAAGCTTGGCGCGCGTGTCGTATTTTTGGATTCGCGTAGTAGAAAAAACCCGAATCAATATTCCATTCATAACCACCCACAGAGCCCGACTCACACAGGCGAAATCACGCCGGATTTTAACAATGAAAAACTATTCGCGCAATTAAAAGTCGCTTTTCGCTTTATTAGTAAACAAATCAGTTAAAATGTCCCAGCAAAATGCTCACCTGTTTCCGAAGTTCGACTTCCAAAATTCGGCAGCATCCGATTTGGTTATACGAAATTGGTCCCCGGCAAACACTCCGTTCGGAAACAAAGCTTTAAGTTCACTCAACATATGGCTAAACACTAAACTAAGCTTAGTTAAATTCCTCCTATAGTGTGAGTTCTCGTCGAACATCTTCTCTTTACCTTCCTTAAAGAGTTTTATGGCCTGCTTACACTTACGCATTAAATTAATAATAAATATATTAAAAAATTCGGTCGTATGTAACACGTACATTTTGTCTTCGTATTTCGAATAAATAAGTCTTAATCTCTGATAGGTGTCCGGCAGTATGTCCAAAATAAACGGGGGTGAATTTTTGAGGTTCATCTTCTGATGTTGACACAATTTCACTACCTTATCCATTAATTTCCATGTCTTATCTAAAGTCCTCTTATCTGTCGCGTATTTTGGCTGTGTCATCGCTTCCGAAAAGGCGCCCTGCAGTTTGGAAAAGATCGTCGAAAAGTTTTTGTGCTGCACTGGACGATTCCGGTTTGCCATTATTGTATAAACAAATTCCTCGCTTACGTATCTCTCGGTTCGGTTGAAGTCTTTGAACACACTATTTAAATTACATGGCGTAAAATCACATTTTATTATTCTATAAGCTAAAATTTCGTAACTATTACTAATTTATTTGAGGACTAAACGGTTTCGTGACACACAGAGTTGACATTCTTCTACATTGCGCTGAAGTTGGCTGCGTTAGCGGGTGACGTCTCTTACACGACTTGAATGCAGTCAGGTTAACCGTAATTCCAGTGGCGGGACATTTCCACAAAGTGTAGGCAACTTTTTCTGCATTGATGACGACCGCCGAACTAAGTCCACGCAGACGACCCTACACAGCCTCGTGTGCAGGCTGGAAAAGGGAATGTCTGTCGGGGGGTAGCCCTGGGAGCGTTTCTAGATATCGATCGAGGATGCGTTTATCAACACTCAGAGCTGGGAGTAATTAGTATTTAAGTTCCTTGAAAGTATCTAAGTTACTTAAATGTAACTAGTTATTTTTTTTAAATAACTTAAAAGTATCTTGGAACTAGTTACTTTTACGAAGTAACTTGTAACTGTTACTTTAGGAAAGTAACTATAGTTAAAAAAGTAACTTGAGTTACAAAATGGAGCTACATGGCACGGACTAGTGAGTTGAGTGAGCTACAAAACCTTAAATCTAGCAATTTTAAATACATGGAACCGATTTTAGAAAGTTGCATTACATTCATACAAAGAAAATTTAAATCTTATTTTCAATTATCTGAATATGATTGCACTGCTAATAGTGCAATAGCAGCAAGCGTTACTTGTCCAATGTTAAAACTTATGGATGAGTTTGTTCAAGTTCAAAGATACATGTGATAGTAATAAGGTTCAAAAGTTATTATGTAAGGAAATTGAAATACTATATCAAGACAGTCTCAAGAGTGTAGATAATAATCGGGCCACTGCAACATCTACTGCATCTGCACCATGCCTATCATCCGAGTTTTTCGAATTTGACTGCTGGAATAAAGTAGGCAGTGCTTGCACAGTTTTTTCCGATATGAGCAAAAAGGCCAAATAGATCTTCAGGTCTTGCAGTATTTACAAGATCCACATACAAACTTCAAAATGTTAAACAAATATGAGTTAGTTAAAAAAGTATTCCTAAAGTTTAATATCCCTTTGCAATCTTCAGCGCCAGTAGAACGCATGTTTTCGTTTGCAACATTTATCGATTCGCCAAGAAGAAACAACCTTTCAGACCGAAATTTCGTAAATTTAGTGTTACTAAACACAAACGGCTATAGCGCTTGTTTCTCTCCAAGATAAATATTTTTATTTGTTACTCAGTTGTAAACGTTGATTAACAAGACAAAACGCAAACGGGTAAACGTCATGTTTAAACGCTACTGACTTGTAAAACTGACAGCAGACCTGTAAAACTGACAGCAGACCTGTAAAAATTTTACAAGTTAGTAATCTAGTAATTTCATTGGCCAGAATTAATGCGAAGTCTCTGTTACATGGATCACATGATATTTTAGACATTTCTTCAAGATCAATTTAAGAACTAATTATTTACGTTTACAAATGAGTAACAAATAAAATATTGTACATTATACGCCATAAAATGGTAACTGTCATTCTAATTGCAGTCTGACAATTGATGTTGCGTCATATTGTATATCTCTAGATTTTTACCGTATTGTACCAAGCCATGGAGCTAGACGGCTTTGGTGCAGGACCCGCTTGACCCAAGGTTTTACCCTCGAGCCGCCGTTTCCTGGCCATCGGCTTCTGTGCGTCAGTCCTACTCTTTTTGCGAATAGTAGCTGGCCCACCACTAAGTCTTTGAATAAAGCTCTGCGCTGGTGCCGCCCTCTCTTTCGAGGCGCAGTAAGATTTTTCTTTAGAGAAGGAAAGTCAGAATGCGACATTTCCTTTCGGAGATGGGGATGAACAATTGATGGGGCGCGGAATTTCCGCTGGTGATCCATGGGAACGAAGGACGGCATACGAATTGAGAAATTGAACCATTTATGAAATGAGGCAACCATGATTCAGCTATTAAATATCAGAGGTCGCAGCATGTTTAAAAATCGAAAGATAGTGAAGTATTATTTTTGTAGTAAATAAATTGTGCTGCCACATCGTGTCGAGTAGGTGGTACTATCTACTTACACAATTGGTTTGTGTATACTCTAAATTAAATTACATTTATATGTTGCCTTCCATGACCTTGTGCATTTTCCTTTGCTTATTTTAACGAGATGAAACAGCTGGTTGCCATAGATTAAATTACATTTAAAGGTACGCGCAAAAAACGATCATGCACTATTACCAGAGTTATTTACTTTGGAATTTTTGGTTACCCGGAAAATCCGCGACCCGATTGTCAATCCTTTTTTGATCGCTCGTTATATGACAAGCCGGAGAAATCCTACTCTGTGGTTATAGAGGGCGTGGAGTCCATATCTGCATTCTGCCCTCGAAATTGACAGAGGATGCCCAGGGGAGGATGCTACGAGGGTGCAGTGAAGTAAAAAATTAACCGTGCCGAAAAAATATTTACTCGGGGCAATTCATATTTTTTTACTTTTCCCAATAAAACACGAATGTCGGGAACATCAATTTTACAATTGACTATCTACTTTCGCGCACTAGTGCCTAAAAATTCAACGAAATTATCTATTTAGTGCGGATCATAAACTAAAAAGTAGTATGATGGGAGAGTAAAAAAGAAAAAAATAAATACACTTTACATCATTCCCTGTAGTCCACGGGCAAAAATAAGCGTAAACCAGAAGTTTTGAACATTAAATTGACATTTTAAATTTCTAGATTTCTACTTTATCGGCATAGAGGACTTGATTTTTTTCAAAAGAATTATAATGTCGCAAAAATCTCGCGAAAAGGATTTGAATTTATATAAATTCGATTTAACTAATCCGTGCAAAAAATAGAATACATTTTACGTGCGTGAACATTGTTTGCTTGATTCGCGCGACATGCGTCGCTCGTGCGCGTTACGCACTCGCGCCGTCAAACTTCGCGCTCATCTGCAAAATAACTGTTCCTGCACTAACCATGTAAATAACTATTTTGTACCCGTGATTTTTTAGGAAATGCACGTCGTAGGATAGACATAAGATACGGACAGCGTTACACAATCGTGTAAAATTTCCAAACGGTTTTCTGTTAGCGACATCTAGAAATAAATAGCTGCACTACTGCTGCTTGCCGCCATTGTGGTTGATGTAACTTTTTAAAAATGAAATCTTTGAGAATGATTCCTGGCCGCAATATTGGATTTTAAATAACAAAACTTTCAATATTGATAGAAGAGCAGCAGTTTTACAGCGACTGTACTTTAAAATTCAACAATTGCTTAAAATAAAAAATAAAATGTGTCGTCTTATTTTAGCAATATTGTAGCAATTACCGTCTTTCTAGTAAAACCTTTATATAGTCGCTCTAGAGTAATGTATGTAGAATTTATATTTTCAAAAACCACCCTAAAATATGATTGTATAAGCCCAGGATTCATTCTCAAAGTTCGATTAAATTTTACAATGCAATTTGTCAGTGGCCACCTCTATTGTGATTCTCATGAATAGTATGCCGTCCTTAAGAGAGTTCTCTATAGGGAAAAATATTCCAAAGGGCGAATTTTCAGAGGCAAGAGAGTTCTAATGTTATAGACCTGTACAGATCTTAAACAGTAGCATTACAGAACAGCATCAAAGGGAAACCTATACATTTCAAGATTTTCATCCCTAAAAATGTAAGTATACATACCTACATTGGCAGTCAGGTGGTAGTTTGCTTTTAAAGGCATAGATGGCGACCATCTATTGAAATAGTTTATTTGCTTCTTTTCCATTACTCTGTGGCAATATTTAAAAAGAATGTTTGCAGAGATGAATCAATAGTACTACCCTTAGAATATAGAAAGATACATCTTTCCCCGCACAGTACATAAAAACATTTCTCTCTCCATGACCTGCTGAATCAAGAATTTTCCAATCTATGAACTCGGAATCAGGACGGAAATCAATTCGTTTTTCGAAGTCACTAAAAGGTGCTCACCTAACGATTTACACAATAAAAGTGGAACACACAAAGACCAGCGGTTGCTGTGAACGTGCCGAAAATAGGCAAAAGGCGAAGTAGTCGATATGTGGCCGACAGTGTAGGAGAACTACATCCGTCATCGTCGAAGAAATGGAAAGTTTTATTGAACAACGGGAATCTAAGCGATAAATCAAAGAGAAGTTGAACATGTATAATAAAGTCGTACGTTATGCGAAAGCACCCAATTCTCGAGGGGAAATCAAATCCTATTAACAAACTTGAACTATGCCCTACATTTCCTAGGGATACAAGTCGAAGAGTTATCTTGCTTGGGAACTATACCTACTACGAGTGCGGATTTCGTTATTTATCAATTCGGAATGTACTTATGTTAAAACTGAAAACGTTCTAGAAAGTTCGCCACATTGATTAATGCGAGATTTTTTAAGTAGAAAATTGACTTGACTTTGTTCTGTTTGTCATAACTTTAATTGAAAATCGTAATTTTTTTATGGGACAAAATTTACGGCAGTAGACTAAAATATAATTCCTAATTAAGATTTTGGGATATTAAAAGTTTTTTTTTTGTTAGATTGCGCCATAAAGATTCGCCAAACATGAAATTTATTAGCTTGATTGTTAGAACCCTCTTCGTATTATTAAGCGGGTCTCCTCTTGAAAGCGTATCGCTTTACCGATTTAAGCTGAGAAGTTTGGACGCGAACTCGTTTTCCGCTTATTAAAGTTTGGTGGTAAAATAAGTTGTGATTAAATACACAATAAAGGGCTGCGTGGTATTTTGAAGCAAGGGCGATTTGGCTTGTTAGTTTTCGGGATACGATCAATAAACAAGTTCTCGAAACACTTTGGCCTCTTTACCCATTTCTGATTCGCACAATAAAAATTCCATCAACTATTTTAATGAAAAAAAAATGGATGAGCTTTACGGGCGCATGGTCAATAAGCACATCTGCTACCCAATTAGCATAAACACAATATTTACTATCAAATCGACAATTGAAACCCTACGGCGCGATTAGCTCCAATTGCCAGGTCGATGCGCTAATTACGAATAATCGACAGATTGGAAAAAATTGCAACGACTTGAGGAATCTGAAGAATCGGAAAAACCAGAAACCTGAAGGATCGGATACGCATCC